TAGGTCTTGGCTCAACACATATTGCTGTCTGAGGTGAAGGACAAGACTGCCTCCGCTGTTCCATATATAGTGGTTAACTGGGCCAGCAACTGATTAAAAAAACACAACAACAGCACTATCAGTAGGGCAGCATTTTCTACTGCATTTGAGGGCAGTAGACTAGTTTAAGGGCACAGGGCATGGCACACACGACTCTGCCCTCCAGCACCTTGCACTAATCCCTGCCTCCTGCACTGGCCATCAAAGGCAACTGCCTCAGTCTACCTAATGGTAGGGCTTGCCCTGAAATTTAATGTTGGAAGCCCAGGATACATGGGACAACTGTTGTGCAGTTGCTCTTCATACCAGTGTTGCCCCTGCGGGAAACTGATTTATTGCTCGCAGAGTGACAGGAGGTTCCTTTCACATGGTCTGGGATCCTGAAATTACCTTTATCATGTGGGAAGCTGCCACGTGGCTTCATTACCATGAGGTAATATGAGTTGGGCACCATAAATGTGAAAACCGAATGATGTTTGCCTAGGTTGGGCCAGGTGATGGCTAATTATTAGTGATGAGAGTCCAGGGGCCTCGCTGATGGTCCTTTGGCACCAGTAACTCCTATTTCTAATAGATATGTAGAAGAAGGAGCCACTAACTCAGAAAAGTGAGTTGTTGAGGGTGGTCTCTTAGAAGCAGCTTAAAAAGACTAGATGGCAAAAGCCTGGGGTAATAAACAGTGTATTTCAGCTGTTTGTCATAAAGGACTAAACATGGCTGCCCCTCTGGGAAAAACTGGGGGAGGCAGCCATGTTTTCCCCTGTAGAATTCCCTCTTGAGCAAGGGAATGCCATCAAGCTCTCTCCCTTCTATGAGGACTTACTTTATCCGATTCAAAGCAGCAAAAGACCTGCACACCAGCTGCTCTAGGCTTTGAGCGGATGGAGCATTATAAAATGGGGGGTGGGGAAGGTTATTTAAAAATAGACAGAAACAGTGCTGGTTTTCCTCATGGCTGCTGATTCTAAGGGGGACTAAAGGGTTGACATAGGTTGGCGTGGGTGGGTCTGCTTGGGAAGCTGTGGGTTCCTCCTCCATCTCTAAGGTACATATGCTGCCTCCATCATGACATAATACACAGCCATCATTACGCGTGACCACTGATAACCTTACCCTGCAGGAATGTGCCTAATCACCTGGTTAATGGCCATCACTGTATCTTGTGGTAGCGATGCCCACAGATTTAATGGTGTGCTGAGTGAATAAGTCATTCCTCTTTGTCCATCCTGAATCTCACAACATTTGGTTTTGTTGGATGACCCTATTGGGTTCTAGCATTATGAGGGGGGAGAGAAGAACCCTCTATCTGCTGGGGAGAGGAGAACCCTCTATCTGTTTTGTCTGCACTGTGCTTAATTTTGTACACCTCTGCTGTGTTCTCCCCTTTTCCCTCCCCCCCCCCCCGAGCTATAAAGAAGCCAGACATTGCAACCATTTTTCGCAGAGGAGTTTTGCTCAAGCCCCTTGATCTATTTGGTCACCCTCTTCTGCCCCATTTCCAGCTCTTGAAATAGCCTTTTTGGGGGGTTGTGGCTATGCATTACGGACTCACGCGCTCTGGATGGGAGCGTCACAAAATGGTTTAGGCTTTCAGTCAGCACCAGTAATAGCTTCACATCAGTGTCATCATCGCTAAGATCATCACCAAACGTGTGTGGGAGTGCAAGAAAAGCAGCAGAGCCTATAAAATGCATTACGCTGAAGGTATGTTTGAAAAACATTAAGATCTGTGCAATCAGTCAAAGAGCCGTTTCCAATTCCAGGGTGGAATTACATGTTCCATCATGGTCTGGCATAAGGATGTGTTTCTAAGTGGCTTTTCACTGTGCAGGATTACAGATGCTCAGGAATCACGACTTTCGATGTTGAAGCCTTTTCAGTCGGCGTTCAAGAGAATGGAAGGGAGGCGTATTCACTGCTTTAAAATGTTAAAGTTTAAGAGGTTGTTTATTATAATTGGGGCTGAGGTTGGAGGTAGAGGAATCCATGAGCACGCATGGGTATTTGCAGATCCCTTGTCACTGACACCTCCTAGGGTGAGCTGCATTCAGTAAAGGCTGTTCAAAATGACAGGCCTGTCCTACCCAAGGAAATAAAACACGAGGGTGGGTGGGAACTGTTAGCATTTTTATTAAAACCAGGCAGGCAAGCTGAACAGAGATGAGAATTCCTCGCAGTTGTTAACACCATAAAAAACCTGTAAGGATTATATGGCACCCTCAGTCATGATACAGGATAATATTTTATACAGTTCCCCTCATATCATTGTGCTGTTTCCCCTGATTCTGTCAGGTGAATGTACCTGAACTCCCCCCCCCAAAAAAAGGAGGAAGAAAAGAAAAAAGGATATAATCAGGGTGAGGTTTTCTAACCAGGGTTGAACTCTAGAAAGAAGCAAGCAGCGATTCTCTCCCACTGGATTAATGTCTTTTGGAAGGCCGTCTTGAGAACTTCAGTACTTGCCACGCCTACTTTAGCATTTGTCTACTCCCACTTCGACATACAGCCCTCCAAGGGTTGGCCATGTGTCAATGTGGCCCTTGGCGCTCCAAAAAGGTTAGCCACCTCTGCTATAGACAATGGTGCCAATTGCAATCTCCTTTACTACATGCCATTGTATTTTGCTGAGGCTAGATGTTAAGCTGGTTGTTTTCACAGAATCATAGAACTGTAGAGCTGAAAGGGACATTGAGGGTCATCTAGTCCAACCCCCTGCAATTCACGAATCTCAGCTGAAGCATCCATGACAGATGACCTTACTTGAATATGGGTTGAGTGTGGGCTGAATGTTTTAGCAAGTCTTGCAATTGAGGTGTAGCCTATTTCTCTTAGAAACCAAAAAGTTTCAATCCTGTCTGTCTGTCTTCTTCAGGTACAAAGGTTTCAAAGGTAACTGCTCCATCTCGTTTATTGAACAGTTCAAGGTCCTCCACCTATGTAATAAATACTGTGAGATGCTGGGACTGAAACCCCTTCAAGCCAGCGGTCAGAAGCAGAGGAAGCCAGCAGCCCCCAAAATCAAGGCACTGCCAGCCTCAAGTACTGTAAAGAAAACCGCGGTCAGCACACAGACTACCAAGAGAACATAGGAACTTGTTCCCTCCCAAAAGAAACATTTCTCATTCTCATCTTTGTAAAATGGACCTCTCTAGAAACACACCCTGTACTTTCTGGAACTGAACACTCCAGCAGTGGGGCTCCCTCAGAGCTGTCAACATTCTGCAAGAAGAAAGTGGATAGTCTAGGACACGCGGACATTTGAAAAGATCAGCACCCCCAATACCAAGCATAACCATTCGCACAGACTACCTAAATGGACAGGGGGGTGGGTTATTTGCACAATCTCTCTTTTTGGAAGGCTGTGCAGGACTTAGGCCTTTTGGGAAAATTGCATTTTTAGTAGATTTCTTCCATATAACTCAGCTGCTAGGTAAGTATATAAGTATATGTAGAACGTTTCAACCCATGTGAGGTAAAAGCTACACACTCCGGAATGCGTGAACCTGCTTCGCCTGCCTCTTTTTACTCAAATGAAGAACTGCTGTTTCTAGAAGTTTCCAAAAGCTGGCTTCTCAGACATGCATAACAGGTGCCGGATGCAACGAAGCATATGAGGGATTCACCTGTGGGCCTTAGACATTTGGGCTGTTGGGTTTTTTTGCACTGGTTTTCAATATTATAAGTTATGTCAAAGATATAATGTAAAACAACACAGTGGCATTCACCAGGTGACCTGGGGACTGTGTGGAGCCCACAATGTCTTTATCCTTTAATCATACCCCTAATTTAGCCTTCCGCTGACTTTTGTATAGCAACACATCATGTTTCCTCTGCTAGATGATTTTAACTGTCTAATCTGTGGCTGTTATGAAGAAGTGTGTGAGAAAAAGAGAGAGAGAAATGGGTGTGGGAGTTGTGGGAGTGTGTGTGGGTGACGTCAGTGGTTAGAGAAGGCTTCCATGGTGCAGAGTAGAGAGTTATTGCTGTATTTGTGAGACTTATAACTGAAGAAATAAGAGTCATGCTAATCAGACTGAAGGTCTGAGTTCTGTGTCCTTCCCTAAGAATCCCCACCCCCAGGCTAGCAAATCGTATTCTGTGGTTTAGTGCTTTTAAACATGATTGAAGCTCGACTTGAACCTTGCAGGAAGGGGTGGGGACTGTCTGTTCAAAATGATTGTGTGTGTGTGTGTGTAAGTGGATGTTACAAATCTGACATCATTTTCTTTCATTGGATTTCAAAGTACGTAGATCTGCAGGAGTAATTCATTTCATTATGCCTGAAGCCCCATTAAGATATTTCCTATATTTCACTCACCCACCAACAGTTTCCAGGTCAATACCACTGTACTAGAATAATGGTTTTCTTTCCTAATTATTTGCACAGTAATAATAATGCTTGTTATACTCCATGCATTTTTTTCTCCAATTAAATTCCTACTGAAACAAGACTTAGCATTGTGAACATGTTGATAATTCGCCTGATGCTGTGAAGGAGTGTACCAACCATTTCCAGGAACACCCTCCTCCCCCCCCTCAGTTAATGATAACCAATTCATCAGCAGTTTTTTTCCTGTTAAAGGCCTGGCTCCTGTTCATAGGAAACTTTGAAGTCCAAGGGTGAGGAACCTCTAACTCACAGGCCAAAATTAGTGTCACCAGCACCACGCTCTAACCAGCTGAGCTTGACCCACCAGAGGTTCACATTTGGCCTGTAAGGCCATTTCCCCAAAACCACACCCACCTTCCCGTCATATGTGAAGTCAGGTGTGAGGCAGGTGGAGATGCAGCTACCTGTGCACAATAGGGAAACAGCCCATTCCCAGCTGTGCATTAGGAAGGGAAGGCAGGCTTTGACTCTACCACCTGTCAAATTTGGGCCATGAGGCTAGGATCTGATAAAGGTCTGGCCTACAAAGCCCCACCTCTGCTTTAAATGTCCTTGAAAGTATTGACTTCTCTCGATAGCTCAGTTGGTAGAGCATGGGGCTCTTGATCTCAGGGTTATGGGTCTGAGTTCCACGCTGAGCAAAAGATTCCTGCATTTCAGAGAGTTGGGCTAGAGGATCCACGTGGTCCCTTCTATGATACTATGAGTATGTCATCCTATTGAATATGTGTCAAACAAGTCTGGAGGGTTGTATTAATGGAGTTGTGCCACAAAGGCATTATGTTATCTATAGAGCATGTGCTCATCTTTTTGTCCCACACTTATATCTGAAACAGGACACGAATGGCGGTGTGGGTTAAACCACAGAGCCTATGGCTTGCCGATCAGAAGATCGGCGGTTTGAATCCCCGCGACGGGGAGTGCTCCCGTTGCTCAGTCCCTGGTCCTGCCCACCTAGCAGTTCGAAAGCATGAAGTGCAAGTAGATAAATAGGTACCACTCCAGCGGGAAGGTAAACGGTGTTTCCGTGCGCTGCTCTGGTTCGCCAGAAGCGGCTTAGTCATGCTGGCCACATGACCTGGAAGCTGTACGCCGGCTCCCTCGGCCAGTAAACCAAGATGAGCGCCGCAACCCCAGAGTCATCCGCGACTGGACCTAATAGTCAGGGGTCCCTTTATCTTTACCTTTAAATCTGAAACAGGTTTTGCAGGTTCTTGAATTAGTACATGAGCCCCAAACTTGTTTACTAGGGATGGCGGTAAGATGCATATGCGCCTCAAAGGAAACCGGTCCTATTTCTTATGTCTTCAGCTCTGAAATAGCTACTGCAAGTTGTGCCAACTTCAAACCTGACATAATAGCTCATCTCGACAGGATAGCAAGTAAGGAGCATGTGCAATATGGGATCCCAGTGTTGGCACATCTCCATTCAAATTTTGCTACAAACGCATTCGTTCAGAGACAAAATATGACCTGCAAAATGCATTAAAGTAATGTGAGCATCAATTCATAAAAATGGAATTAATCATAATTATTGATTCAAGTTGAGGGCCAGCCTACTGTTGTGATTTGAGACCAAAACTAGGTTCCCCATCCCTGCTCTAAGCAATCAGCTCCTTTTAAAATCCATATGAATATTGTTCCACATGCAGCTCTAAATGCACTGTTGACCTTGCACCCTATGCATAGAGGCAATTTGGTTCTTTTTTGTTAGAAGAGCTTTGTATGGCTATAAGCAGTGGTTGGAAAGGACCTTCAAGATCGCTAATCCACTGCTCTGCACTGAAATAGGATTCATCACAGTGCACTAATTATCCCTGCCAGATGTGCTAAAATATACACAAATAATTTCTGTTTCAGATTCCTGTTTGCGCCTTTCAGCCGGTCCCTGTTGCCATCTAACTGAAAAGGATAATTTGCTGGGACAGAATTTTAAGAGAGGAAGCCTCAGTGGGAGGTGTGGGTCAGCTGCAGAACAAGTTTGATTCATTAATCAAAATCTTAGCAAGTGTCTTTATCGACAAGTGCTGCAATCAGTTGCCATGACAATAGGCATCACCATAGCCATTTCCCAGGCAGGATAATAATAATAAAAAACCAGCTGTGGTGGCTCATCAACCTGGTTCAGAACGTCTTGGCATTTGAGGGAGTCACATCAATTTCATGCAAACTTCCCAAACAAAAGGATGTTTCTTTCTTTTTTCTTTCTTTTAAAAAGGATCCCCCTAGTTCAATGTTATTTTATCTAGTCTCCACAAAGTATTCATTTTATTTCATAAAACGTATATGCCACTCGATTGTAAACAAAAACAAAAAAATCAAAGTTATAATGAAATTATTTAAAACACACTTTAAAACAACTGTGTAAAGCTTTGAAAAGTAATTAAAATCAAGCATAAGCTAAAACCCAGATTAAAACAGCACACTATATATTTGGATAGGCTTTCCTAAGCAAATCAATTTTTTAGCATGCACCAAGAAGTGTACAGCAAAGGTACTTTTTTGTCAATCGGCAGGGAGTTCCAAAGTCTGGGGGCTCCCACAAAAAACAAAACAAAAAAAACTTTCTTTCAAATGCCGAACAAGTATTATGTGGCACCTGTAACACTTGCCAGTTCTGCAGATCAAAGTGCTTTAGTGGGCATATATGGGGTAAGGTGATTTTGCAAGTAAACTGGCCCCAAACTGTAATGGGTTTCATGTGACCTCCCCAGGGCACAAGCCTGAACAGTGTGCATGAAGGTTCTGGACTACCCAGACAACAAGCCCCCCCTCTCAGCCTTGCTGGTGTGGTGCAAAGGAAAGCAGAGCAATACGTTTGGCACCAGCTTGACTGCAGGAGTTGCTGGAAAGAGGCATACAAGGTGCTATGCAACCGTCTTAGGGACTCCAATCCAGATTTGTAGGGTTTACTCCTTAACCTTTTCTGTATCTGAATATATCCTGCAAGGCAGTGGGGATTTAGGATAAGGTTACCAGACATCCCCGTTTCCCGGGGACAGTCCCCGGATTTACAAATCAGTCCCCTGACAAAATCCTATCATTCCAGTTGAAGTTGAAAAGTGTCCCTGGATTCATTGAAAAAAAATCTGGTAACCTTAATTTAGGATGAGTTTTCCCTCTCCTAGATGGACTCCCTTCCCCTTACTTCCCTCTATAGCACATGCAGAAACCGCCTTCTTGACTATTGGAACCACTATTGATCTTGTCCCTTCAATCTGTCAGAGCCTGTCTTCACATGCAGGGGAAGTCCCTGACTCACTGAGGGTTTGAGACCCATCGGCTAACCTCACCTGGTCTAGCTGGCCAGTCAAAGCCATTCCTGGGGTGTGCCCACTGTCGCACGCTGACAGCTTCTAGGAGCCACAGGTGAGAGCTGGGTGCAAGGAAGCAATTGAGGATGGAGGAGCATGAAGTGTCCCCCACCAAAGGTCCTGACCCTCCCCTAACACCCCAGATTTCATGGAAGAAATCCTTGGCCTTGAAGCAAATCTGCAACCACAGCAGGTCTCTGAGCAAAGGTGTTATATGCTGACAAGGTCTCACTGTCAACAATTCAATCCCACATGCTGCTCTGGACTGCCCTGAGGATCTCCGGGAGATACGTGGTGGGAAAATTTACTCAGCTGACTAATATTTCCTCTTTCTTTGACACTAGAGAAAGTCTCCCGCAGCACAGTTCCTTTGCATTTAACATTGAAGAAGAAGAAGAAGAGTTTGGATTTGATATCCCGCTTTATCACTACCCTAAGGAGTCTCAAAGCGGCTAACATTCTCCTTTCCCTTCCTCCCCCACAACAAACACTCTGTGAGGTGAGTGGGGCTGAGAGACTTCAGAGAAGTGTGACTGGCCCAAGGTGTGCCCAGCAGCTGCATGTGGAGGAGCAGAGACGCGAACCCGGTTCCCCAGATTACGAGTCTATTGCTCTTAACCACTACACCACACTGACTCTCTGCAACCTTATTGGTACAACAAAAATGCTTTAAAACAGAACAGAACAACAGCATTTAAATATTTCTCAAGTATGTGTAGCTGGTTAGATCTCTACATAGAGCAGTGCAGTCTATGCCCCCCCCCCAACTAAGGTAAGCCCAAAATATGGGTCATACAAGGGACAGAGGCAGAAGGTAACCACAAAAAACACAGATAAATTGCCAAGATCAAAGGGGGGGAAATCGGTTAAAAATGTTAGAAAGAGTACGAATTAATTTTGGTTAAAAATCAATGGCAGTGAAGCAGGACAAATCTTGGGGAGAAGGCAGAACATTCCTGTGATAAAGTGCCACAGTGACAAATGGGAAGGAATCAAGATAAGTCAGGGTTTAAATGAAAAGATTAGAGCCAGCGGAGAGCATGAAGGAGAAACAGGGATGAGAAAGGGGAGAGATTGAGAAGTACTGACGAAATGGGCCATAGACTTTGGGCATAATATCCAGTATGAATCTTGGTCAAAATTATGAAATCAGAATTTAAAATTTATAGCATGTATGGCCTTAAAAGAAAATGTAATGAAAATGATGTATAGGTGGTACTTGGCCCCAGTAAAATTGGCCAAAATGTATAGGATGAAAAATAAATTATGTTGGAAATGTAATGAAAAGGACGGAGATTTTTACCATATGTGGTGGACTTGTGATAAGGTGATTTATTTATTTTTTGAAATGGTCTATAATGAACTAAAAAAAAAGATGTTTAAATATAGCTTCCCAAAAAAAACAGAAGCGTTTTTGCTTGGGTTGATGGGAGAAGAGATTACAAAAGTAGACCAAAGACTATTTATGTATGCCACCACTGCAGCAAGAATTTTGTTAGCTCAAAGGTTGAAATTACAAGAATTGCCAACAATTGAGGAGTGGCAGATGAAGATGATGGGCTATGCAGAGCTAGTCAAACTGACTGTGAGGATCCGGAACCAAAGCGACCAGAAATTCCAGAGAGATTGGAGTAAATTTATTGAATATTGAAGGGATCATTGCAAAAATTTGAAGACGCTAGCAGGACTGATATGAACCCTGTAACACAATATAAAAATAGTATCTGACCATGGATAAATAGAAGGATTTGATATGTATTGAAGGACAGAAACTGACAGTAGAAATGCATATGTAATTTATTAAGAAATTAGAAACCAGCTGAAGGGAGGGAGGGAAGTCATGAGCAAATGTTTCAGAATGGTTATTATAATGTTGTAATATTTTATGTTTCTAAATGAAAATAAGAAAAATTATATTATAAAAAAAGAAAGAAAGGGGAGAGATTGGAAAATTTGAGATAAAGAGAAGACAGGATAGATGGAAAGACAACTAGAGAAGAAGGAAACCTGGAGAAAAAGACATCAGCCCATGGAGTAGCTTTTATGGAAGCAAAAGCATGAAATGGCAAGACAAAGATTGTACATAAGGGCGATGCTGCCAGAGATAAAGGACCGTATTTTAGATCCTGGAGGCAGATGGTTGTCTCCCCCCCCTCCCCCCGATCAAATATGGTATGATGGAAGGATGATTGCCAGTGGTGTATAAACAAGTAAACACTCATCATATGACTGTCTCTGTAGCATTTGTAGACCTGGGTAGTACTTCAAAAACTTGCAAATGTTGTTGGGCCAGAGATGAAAGGAGACAAACAGAACAAAGCAGCAGATTCTCTGGGCATTTTTTTAATGGAACAAATTCATAACACCGTAAGAGCAGCCTGATGGATCCGATCAATGGTCCATCTAGTCCAGCATCTTCTTCTTACAGTGGCCAACCAGATGCCTGTGGAAAACTTGCAAGCAGGACCTGAGAAGAAGAAGAAGAAGAAGAAGAAGAAGAAGAAGAAGAAGAGGAGGAGGAGGAGGAGGAGGAGGAGGAGGAGGAGGAGGAGGAATTTGGATTTGATATCCCGCTTTATCACTACCCTAAGGAGTCTCAAAGTGGCTAACAATCTCCTTTCCCTTCCTCCCTCACAACAAACACTCTGTGAGGTGAGTGAAGCTGAGAGACTTCAAAGAAGTGTGACTAGCCCAAGGTCACCCAGCAGCTGCATGTGGAGGAGCGGAGACGCAAACCCGGTTCACCAGATTACCAGACTACCGCTCTTAACCACTACACCACACCACACAAGAGCATTCTCCCCTCCTGTGATTTCCAGCAACTGTTGTTCAGAAACATGACAGCCTCCTACTATGGAGACAAGAGCATAGCCATCATGGCTAGTAGCCATTGATAGCTTTCTACTCCACGAGTTTTTCTCATCCTCTTTTGAAGCCTCCCAAGTTGGCACTAAATGCGCAGATGATTTATTTAAAGCAGAAACGCTGCAATAGCTTCTCTGAGTCCAAAGAGAAAATTAGACAATTCTGGCTTGCAAACGTTTTAGTCATCCTGTCCAAATGTTCCTCTAATCTGTCAAGGCGCTGGACAATGCAGGGTTGCTTCTGTGCAAACTTTTGTCTCCGTGCCAAAGGGCAACTGCAGCAAATGGCAGATTGAAGGACGTAGTCCTGCAATTGGAATGAATAATGTACAAATAATGTACAAAAAAAAGATCCCCCCTTCCTTTTTTAATCAACCTTACATGCACATATGTAGAGTTTCCAATACAAAACATAATAAGAGCTCAGAAATATTATTCAGCTCCCCCAGCAAGCTGAATGTTAGAAACCTCTGGATTTAATTTAATTTAATTCTGCTTTTAGGTGTTAATTGTTATCATTGCTCATCTTATGGGTTTTACAATTATCACACACTGCTTCAAATTCCAAATTGGGTGGCAGGGACTTCCGGGGAGGTGCCTCCGGCAATGGCAGAATTCCTCTGACTGGGAGGAATCTGCTCCGTGGGAATTTGGGCCGCCACGGCGAAGGCGGAGACCCGTTAAAATCACAGGCGGGAGAAGCCTGTGAGCGTGGGATTCGGCGGGCACCTTTTGCGCCTCCCCCACTTGCGGGGAACCCCAGTTTTTGGGGGTCCGGAGCGACGTGGGGTGAGCGGCGCGGTGCATCGAATCGTCTGCTTCTTCCATGGAGTGAAGCCGCATAGCTGTTGCCGGAGAGCGCTGATCTTTTCCTGTGGACAATTTGACTTTAAAGTAATTACCCGTGAGTAGATCTGAAACGGAAGAATTGGATTTCTAAATTTTAATTTGGTATCGCAACGGGGAGGTTCAAAACAGGAAGTCCGCCTTCCCCTTTTGTAAATAGACTGAGGCAATGAAGTTGCAAGCTGGAGTCCCGGAAAGTCATTTTTTAAAGATAAAATTTCCATCAATAAAGAACATTAAACCCCCTCTTGGAGGCAGGAGAAGAGAGGGGAAAGTTGCGGATTGATTATGCCTGTGGGAGAGAGTGAAGAGATTTAAAACACCGCCGCTCTAACCCTGGAAACGGGCTGCTAGTAGGACTGACGTCTTTTGGAATGTTCATTGACAGCGTTTAGAACATTCATTGACAGCTAGTTAAACAAGAGAAATACATTGTTTCTACTGTCTCCGGCTGCTTTAAAAAGGAGTAAAAGTAACTGAAAATTGAAACTAATTTGAAACTAATTTTGGATTGTTGAAAAGAGGATACTATTGACTATTACAAATAGAAACTGTTTCCCCCTAGTGGAAGCCTTTGAAACCGGTTGTTTTACAAGAGCTGGGCTAGGGGAATTTCCAGCTGCAAGTTAAAAACCGTGAGACTCTGGGACTGACCTTGAATCTTTTAAGTGTTATGGTAAATGGAAGAGGAAAAACAGACCAGTCAACTGCTGACAAAACATTAAGGTCTGGGAGGACTTGGCAACAATCCAGAAGAGGTCCATCATCAGGCCCCCTGCTCCCTCTGTTGCTGCCTTTGTACCAGCATATTTAAAACCAAGAAGAATGTCGACAGAAGAGGCTTTAGTGGCTGCATTTTATAAGATAAATGACTCATTGGATCAGCTTAACAGGAAAATGGACACGATAAATGCGAAAATGGATGTTTCAATTACTAAAATCAACCTAAATACAGAAAGTATAAATAATACCAATACAGAAACCACCCAGAAATTGATACAGGAACCTACTTTGATACGGCAAACTGCGGAGGAAGCCAGGGAAAAGCTGTTGTTGCTGAATGTAAAGTAACACAACTGGAGAGAAAGAGAAAGAGAGCCCCAGCCCTACAGAGGCAATTTGATGAACATAAGTTGACGCTTGCTATGACTGAACTTAAAGAAAAACAGACGAATTTGAGGATTAGAGTTCACTTTTGGTGGACATGCCCAAGGATTAAGACACTTTGGGAGATGATTTATAACGAAATGAAAAAGGCATTTAAATATACCCTTTTGAAGAAGCCAGAGGCCTTTCTCCTGGGCATGGTCGGCCAATTGGTGTTAAAGAAGGATAGAACTTTTTCCACGTATGCAACAATAGCAGCAAGAATACTCATTGTGAAGTACTGGAAGACACAAGATTTATCTATTCGGGAAGAATGGCAGATGAAGTTGATGGACTATATGGAATTGGCGGAAACGACTGGCAGAAATCCGAGACCAGGGAGAAGAGTCGGTGGAAGAAGACTGGAAAAAGTTTAGGACTATTTATAGAAATACTGTAAAAATAATGAATGTAAGAATAATGTTGGAATGAAGTTATATGGCTCTAGTAGAAATGCTATAAGGAATTAAGTATAAATAGATTAATAGAGTATTAAAGGGAAAAATAAGGTCAGAATATGTTAAGATAATTATAGGATAGAAACAGAGGAAGATGGAAAGGAATTGCTGAAACAATTAATAGAAGTGGAATACAAAAAGGGAGGTGTGAGGAGGTCGTGGAAATAAAGGAATGAAAGATAAGATATTGAAATTGTTTTGTGTGTTAAATGGTTTGTGTCTTATTTTGTTATGCTTTTTTTTGTTTTGTCTATTTTGTTGTGTTTAAATGGTTGAAAATTAATAAATATTATTTAAAAAAACCACACAAATTCCAAATTGGGTGACAAGTATGTACAGTATGTGCACATTTTAAAGAAATTAAAAATTAAAACACAGAGCGTCAGTGCTGCAAGTTCAATGGAAGCAATAATAGTGCTTTGGTCAGACCACACCTGGAATACTGTGTCCAGTTCTGGGCACCACCATTTAAGAAGAATGTTGACAAGCTGGAACATGTGCAAAGGAAGGTAACCAAGATGATCAAGGGTCTGGAAACCAAGCCTAATGAGGAATGTTTGAAGGAGCTGGGTATGTTTAGCCTGGAAAAGAGGAGACTGAGAGGAGATATGATAGCCATCTTCAAATATCTCAAGGGCTGTCACACAGAAGAGGGAACAAGCTTGTTTTCTCCTGCTCCGGAGGATCAGACTCAAACCAATGGATTCAAGTAACAAGAAAGGAGATTCCAACAAAACACCAGGAAGAACCTTCTGACAGTAAGAGCTTTTTGACAGTTGGTCTCGAGGTGGTGGACTCTCATTTCATGGAGGTTGGATGGACATCTGTCACAGATGCTTTAGTTGAGATTCCCACATTGCAGGGGTTTGGACTAGACCCTTGGGGTCTCTTCCAACTCTACAATAAGAAGGAAAATGCATTTACCCACCTATGAATTGGCTGGTTGGAATGCAGCTAAAAATAACAGAGATCTCTCTCAATAGTAGGCTTCCTCCAGGACGTGTTGTGACTGCCGTGCACATTTGTTAAATGTTGTATTTGGATGTACCAAGTTGTTGTTTTGAAACATGAGATGGCAGCATTGTGGAACATAATGGCTACCCCCAGCTTAGAGCAGGACAGCAATTATGATGTCCTGCTAAATTGGCCAAATTTGGAAGCACCCGTTCAGCATTTGCAAAGCTCCAATTAAAAAGTTCAGGGTTTCCTTGCTTCCTTGCCTGTTGTTTTTGCTGCTGAAATTTGAGTTTGGGCACACACAAAACACATCCAGCAATACATGCCCACCTGATGCAAGTCCACACCAACCTCTCGTCACTTGGCTCATTCTGCAAGCTCTGAAAGGTTGCTGGGGTTGCAGTCTTGATGTTCCTCCCATTAGCTTTTGTGAAAGGGGCCTTTTTGAAAAGCACACCCTAAATTACCTGCAGCTACGGTGATTAAAGCTTTTAGAGACTTTGTTCCTTGTACATACAATAATGTGGGCGTGCAACTTATGGTGATTGGAGGGCCTTACAGGTGACAGTAAGAGAATATTCACTGGTTTTGCAAATCATACTCCCAACCTGCCTGTTCACTGCTGAATGAAAGAAATAATTACTGAGCAAATTCAACTAAGGATGCTTGCATTTAGTACCTTCAACCTGGGTAGTTCTAAACAATCCAGGACAAAAAAAGTAGGGGAAAGCATTTGTTGTTCAGTGTGAGCCACAAAACACTGGATGGATCCTGTTTTCAGCACTTGGGTTTATTTTACATACATAGAAATTATTAATGAGTATGCCTCAGCAGCGTGCAGCTAGGAAATTTTATTTTATTTTTAAATCCAAACTTCTATCATTATCATGTAAATAATGCAATACATTTCAAAAAAATTAAAAAATATATGGGTGGATGGGTGCCAATGGAAATATATTTCCATACATACACATGGATATGTATGTACAAAAAGAAAGAAGAAAAGAACATATATAATAAAATTCAGTAAGAAAATCTAATTAACACTGATATTGAATTAACATAAAAAGTGTAAATAAATTAATTAACGAAGAGATGACAAAAATGGAGGGGCGGGGGAGTATTTATCTGATCATTGGTCTGATCATTGACCTGCTTGTTGATGCCACCTTAATGATGTACAGTGGTACCTCGGGTTACATACGCTTCAGGTTACAGACTCCGCTAACCCAGAAATAGTGCTTCAGGTTAAGAACTTTGCTTCAGGATGAGAACAGAAATCGTGCTCTGGCGGCACGGCGGCAGCAGGAGGCCCCATTAACTAAAGTGGTGCTTCAGGTTAAGAACAGTTTCAGGTTAAGAACGGACCTCCGGAATGAATTAAGTACTTAACCCGAGGTACCACTGTACAATGTTCCCAGTAATATTATAAAATTTTAGAGTTGGAAGAGACCCCAAAGGTAATCTAGTCCAACTTCCTGCATTGCAGGAATCACATCTGACTAACGGCCAATGTACAATATACAAGCAATATCCGTGGAAATAAAAATACAACCTGAAACCACTAAAACAACTATATAAAAATATACAAAAAACAAATTAAACATGTACCAGAATGAACCAGGACAAAAAAATAATGACTCTTGAGGGTAAGCATTATAAATATGACATGGTACATTGTGCAAATGTGTTCATTTTGCAAATTGCAGACTTTGTCACCCAAAGAGTTCTGCCCTGTAACCTACCATTCTTTGCTTCTGGAAACTTCTTGGCACCTAAGCCTTTTAGTACATGGCCGTGTTTAATGTGTGTGCATTTGTGTTGCATGTGCGTGTTGTAAAATGTACGTGGGGTGCGTGATCAGGAGTTTGGGGGTTATTTTCCTCGGCAACATATACAGACTCTACTGAATGGCAAGTAGACATCTTCCCGTTGTTATAGCAACCAATTAGTATGCATGCCTGTTTAGGAAATATGTGGATTTGAAAATTGGAGACTGGATTTCAAATTGGCCTTCCTTCTTGGTTTTGAAATCAGTTTCTTGCTTCAGTTGCTCCACCATGATGACCAAGAGTAGCTTACTCACCACTGAGTAGACCAGATTTTCTGTATCTCTTACGTTAGATCTGTTCTAGGCATCTGCATTACTTGAGGAATAAGGCTCTGAGATTCCAGTTCTCATTCATTGTCATCAGGCATCTCCCAATGCTATGGGGAGATGATATACAGGGCTCCAGTCTCCCCAAGTACAGCAAAGGCAACTATAGGACAGATGGCATTCCTGGCAGCGCTGATTTTCATCCTAGGCTCAAGGCCAGATCCATTTTATATTATTTTTTTAAGGGAAGAAGCATTGGCTCTGTGGACATCCTTTTCGGGAAGGACTTGAGGGAAGTCAATTAAACGAAACAACACTTCTGAAATTGCGCACGAGACAGGCAGTGGGGTGTTGACAAAACTGCCAACAGTAATGTATTAATGGCGGCCGGACCTGGAGTCTCAAGTGCAAAATAAAGGAAAGTATACGCAGCAACTATAATTAAAATGAATACATGTGGTAAATTTTGCAGGAACAATGCCTGACTGAGAGCAGGCAGGAATCTCTTCTCTTGCCCATGTGGCTTTTTGTCTGAATTGGCAAATGCATTATTTCAAAGCTTCTAAAGTCTTCTGCTGTCAATGAACTTTTCCCACACACATTAATGTTAATTGCAAGGGGTTTTGGAGGGTTATTCTTGTGGGATAACCAGCCTCATATAACCAATATGCTTAGGCCCAATTAATGCATGAAGGGGTTAATACCATAGCTTAGGTTTCCTGCCAGGCTTCCTGCTATGTCACTTCCTCTTACCTTGGGAGGAAATAGCTAATCAAGCCTAATGCTTCCCCTCTCAGTCTACCTGAGAAACTCAGCGAGTGAAGAGGTCCGAGCTGATTGCTCTAGCTCAGCCACATGACTCTCACCGGTCAATAATCTAGGAACTTCTGCCATTTTGTAACAAAGCTGAGTTTTTCTGCTTGTGCACGTTTTCTGACTGATGTATCAAAAAGCACATTAATCTGAGCTTTGAAGATTTTGTAAGTAGTCCATTTTTTAAAATTTACCAAATGTGAGGTCTTTTCTTATGCTGGGGGAAGCGGGGAACCTTGGAAAGGCCTGTTTTAAAAGTTTAACAGCCTATATGTCCATGCTTTACTTTGCTGCATTTTTTGTGACTTTAAATCTCTGCTGGGGTTCCCATACCAAACAGTACTAGCCCCAAACTTGGATCTTGCCCATCCGGGAATTCTCTCTCTCTCTCTCTGTGTGTACACACACACACACACACACACACACACACACACACTGCATCAACAATTCTAGGGCACACTTAAGCTCATTCAAGGTCTGTCAAGCCTACTTGTTACCCATGCAAACCACAAATGCCTCCATTTTCTCTGTGGCTGCTCATTGCCAAAGACAGTAATGGAAATGTTTTTATGATCAGCCTCAGATTTGCCCAGAGGAACCCCTGACTACCTCCCAAGAAACTCCCAGGTCCTAAAAACAGGGTAGCCACCAATGGTATTCCATCCACTGGTGAAAGGCATCCATTAAAGGAACAATTAGAAAAGTAATTTTTGATTATTCATCTTCTGCTGCAGCTGCCCCATGTTATGAATTCTGCTCGGGGGGCGGCAGCGGTTAACCCCTTAGATAGAATAAATATCAGGGGAGAGGGCTGAAGGCGAAAGAGGTGTTTTGGTTTTATGATAAAGATTGTCTTCTACAATAGACGAGTATAGGACCATCACTTTCTGCACTTCCTAGTCTGGTCCAGGTGTTTTGGCAAGCTCAGGGTTGGAGGACTTCAAACTACCCCACCTCTTAGTGAAAAATACAGTGGTACTTCTGGTTACATACTTAATTCGTTCCAGAGGTCCGTTCTTAACCTGAAACTGTTCTTAACCTGAAGCACCACTTTAGTTAATGGGGCCTCCTACTGCCGCTGCGCCTCCGCTGTGCAATTTCTGTTCTCATCCTGAAGCAATGTTCTTAACCTGAGGTATTATTTCTGGGTTAGCGGAGTCTGTAACCTGAAGCGTATGTAACCCGAAGCGCCTGTAACCCAAGGTACCACTGTACCTCATCTTTCTCCTGCTTTGAAATCTGATCTCCTTTTTTTGTTTTTGTTCTGCCCAACTTCATGTTCAGTATGGATTCCTATTTCCTAAACATGTTTTTGAAGACTATGGTAAACTTGTCATGTGAGCTAAGCTTCGTTGGATTCACAACTGTTTCTCTGGAAGCTTCTTGAGGGGGAAATGTTGTGGTGAACCAGATATTGCACACACCACCACAGTTGGCCATCCATGAGATAGTGAGAGAAAAATGAATGGACGTTAGGGGTCATCCTCTCATGCTTTGAAGGCTAAGGGGATGTGTCTATACCGTATCTTTAAACCAGGCATCCCCAAACTCGGCCCTCCAGATGGTTCAGGACTACAATTCCCATCATCCCTGACCACTGGTCCTGTTAGCTAGGGATGATGGGAGTTGTAGTCCCAAAACATTTGGAGGGCCGAGTTTGGGGATGCCTGCTTTAAACTAAGCTGGTGTGGCCATGAGCATTGCCTTGATTTCACAGTGCCTGCCTGAAAACCATAGTGAAGCTGCTCCCAATATATTGGAGGTGGAAGAGAGAGAGAAGGAGAGAGAGAGAGAGGTGCCTAGCTGAGAACTTTAAAACAGCTACAGCCTACAATATTGTCATAACAGATACAGTGGTACCTCGGGTTACAAACACCTCAGGTTACAAACACTTCGGGTTACAGACTCTGATAACCTGCAAGTAGTACCTCGGGTTAAGAATTTTACCTCAGAATGAGAACAGAAATTTCGCACCGGTAATGCGGCGGCAGCGGGAGGCCCCATTAGCTAAAGTGGTACCTCAGGTTAAGAACGGACCTCCGGCACGAATTCAGTTCGTAACCCGAGGTACCACTGTAATAAGCAGGGTTGGAATGTGTTTGCTTTGGCAGAATTTCAGAATGAATGCACACCAATATTTTGATATCTATGCTGAGGACTGATTCACACAATACTGTATATATTTTGGGTGTACAGTGGTGCCTCACAAGACGAAATTAATTCGTTCCGCAAGTCTCTTCGTCTTGCGAGTTTTTCGTCTTGCGATGCACGGTTTCCCATAGGAATGCATTGAAAATCAATTAATGCGTTCCTAGGGAAACCGCCTTCAGACCAGGTCCGGGGACAGTCTGTCCCCGGACCTCTTCTGAAGGCTGGGGGAGCAAGGGCTTTCTTCCCACCCCAGCATTTTAAAACCCCGGGACAGCGGAGGACTTCTCCGCTGTCTGGGCGATCTTAAAATGCTGGCGGGCGGCATTTAAAATCACCCCGGGACAGCGGAGGACTTCTCCGCTGTCCGGGGCAATTAAAGCCCCTGGGAAGGCAGGCAGGGGGACAAGACTTTGCCCCCGCCAGCCTTCAGAAGAGGTCCTGGACCTCTTCTGAAGGCGGGCGGGGGCGAAGTCTTGCTCCCCGCCTTCAAAAGCCCTCCGGGACAGGCAGGCAGGGGAGCAAAGACTTTCGCCCCCGCCCGCCTTCAGAAGGTCTTCCCTCCCCCGCCCGGCTCGGAGCACCGTTCCGAAGCCGGGCGGCGGCGGAGGTGTTCCCTCCCCCGCCCGGCCCGGAGCACCGTTCCGAAGCCGGGCAGAGGCGGGAGGTCTTCCCTCCCCACCGCCCGGCCCGGAGCACCGTTCCGAAGCCGGGCAGCAGCGGAGGTCTTCCCTCCCCCCGCCCGGCCGGAGCACCGTTCCGAAGCCGGGCGGCGGCGGCTGGTGTGCCCTCCCCCCGCCCGGCCCGGGCACCGTTCCGAAGCCGGGCGGCGGCGGCAGGTGTTCCCACCCCCCCACCCCGCTTCGGAGGAGCCTTCCGAAGCCCGGCGGCGGCGGGAGGAGGTGTCCCCGCCCCGCCGCCAGGCTTCGGAGGAGGTCCGAGGACAGTGGGGAAGACGCGCTGCGCTTCCCCGCTGTCCCTGAGATTTCCCTATGGGCTGTCGTCTTGCGAAGCAAGCCCATAGGGAAATTCGTTTTGCGAAGCGCCTCCAAAACGGAAAACCCTTTCGTCTAGCGGGTTTTCCGTCTTGCGAGGCGTTCGTCTTGCGGGGTACCACTGTATAGCTAAGATGTCTGAAACTAGGGACTGGGAAGCTGCAGTCCTGGAAATGTTACTGGACCACAACCCCCATGATTCCCAACCACTGGCCACAAACCCCCCCACCCTTGCTTTAAGCATACATCTGAAAAAGGAAAAACGAAAGGCTACATGTCAGCAGTGTACACATTTATCATACAGGTACATGAATCACAGAGCTAACATTGGCTGCAAGTGCTGTTTAGGGTACGCTCAGTGGCAAACCTGGTTTTGCTGCTCCATAATGTGTGAAACACCCTGTTTTTACTTTCATCATGGATCACAAAGTAGAGCAGGGTAGATCACAAAGTAGATGCTTTGCAGGGAAGAAGTATTAACCTCTGACTCCCTTTCTGGCATAAGTTGTCTATGCATTGTGCTTCAAATACTTCACATTGATTTCAGTGAAATATACACACCTATGGAATATTTATATAGCAATTATGAACAAGGATCATGGTTGCTTTTCTGCCAAGCCCCACAACGACATGGCAGCATTTGACTAAATGATGACTTGTATACACAGCTGAGCGCCAAAAATGGAATTATGCCTCCATTCTCAGGCTCATTTGTCAAACGTCAATACAACAATGGAGCTCCTGTTCAAGACTGAAATAGCTATAACTATTAACTTGTTAATAAGTGAAATAAACACTTAGAGTGTTGCTTTGGGGAGTGAAAATGAAAGAAAGACAGTTGTGTAGGCCGTTTGTTATAATGTAGGAATAAATGTACATAATCACTTGTGCTTGATCACTAAAATATCTCTCCATCCCATGAACACAAACATGAGTCATACACATCTCTGCAAAGCAACTGGGATCATAATGTGTACTTTTAGGAAAGCAGATCGTATTATTTACTGCATGAGATTTTGGCACCGCAAAATATATTTCTCCAATAATTCTCTTCCTTTTCCTTCCCTCTGCTGAACCCGATGGCTTATCTAACAGTAGCTATTTAGTGTGATAATGGCGTTTGACAGATTGGATACAAACACCATTGTCACACTCCACAGCTCCAGCAGGAAAGAGGCACTGAGGAGTGGGGAGACGTGCAGCTCTAGATTTCCGAAATTATAACCACAGGTACCTACAATAAAACAGAGAAAGGGAATACGTTTAAAGAGGTGAACATGATAAATTCTGTAGGCAGAAATAATTTCCATTGTGAATGCAAGCTGTTTGGCAATCTAGACGGTCAACAGTTGATAAACCAATTGACTCCAACCTATAAATGTGGTTTGGCTGGAACCAATTTAGCCATACTGAGCCCAGCCTAGTAGCTCATGGTAAATGAAGCAGAAGGAGACTCTAGAATCCTGGTCAATACAGTAGGGTGTCTGGCCCATTCACTTTCCCTAAAATATTTTTTAATGACATTTTAGTTGTAAACTAAAATAGCCACAGCTTACTCGTTAAATCACAGCTATTGCTGAAGTCAGAGTAATAGAACTTACAATGGAAGAAACAACCAACCCTGCACTATAATTTCCCATTATATCAGCCTAACTATAACATATCATGCTTCAGAAACAGATAATATTCCAACTGAGCAATAGAAAGAAAATGCTGCAGTGTGGACTGCTCCCGTCTTTCTTTTGCTTTAGATCAGGCTTCCTCAACCTCGGCCGTCCAGATGTTTTTGGCCTACAACTCCCATGATCCCTGGCTAGCAGGACCAGTGGTCAGGGATGATGGGAATTGTAGTCTCAAAACACCTGGAGGGCCGAGGTTGAGGAAGCCTTCTCTAGATCTCATGCTGATTACCCAGGATTTATCCCCCTGGTTTAGATCCCATACATGTTGCTCATGCCCCTTAGGGCAACATCCACCCCTGCCCTCTCTCTTGCCTTTGATGGGTTGTTCTTTAATGAGAGATGTGGGCTGAACCAGTGATACTTTGAAAGCACTTTGAAGAAAATATCCTTAAATTCCCAGCTCCCAAACAGCTGTAGATTGAGTGAAGATTAAGGAGAGCACAAATCTCGCATGGGTATGAATGTCAAATACTGTTGTTGTTGTTGTTGTTGTTGTTGTTGTTGTTGTTGTTGTTGCTGCTGCTGTTGCTGTTGTTGTTTTAAACTACCCAAATGAGTAGATCAGGCTTTCTCCACCTTGAGTCCCCAGATGTTGTTGGACTACAACTCCCATCACCCCTAGGTAGCAGGACCAGTGGTCAGGGATGATGGGAGTTGTAGTCCAGCAACATGTAGGGACCCAAGGTTGAGAAAGGCTGTGGTAGGTAATGGGACAGATGCAGAATGCAGCCCGGAGGGCCTGTGGCTAAGCAAGATGAGTCAGTACATTTCCGAATTATGTGACGCAGTTTTCCAACCATATAATGTCTTCCGAAATGGAAATATTAGATGAAAATGTGCCTAAAGATGCACCAGTTTGGGGGGGGGGGAAGCATTAGGGAAAATGGCATCTATAAATGGGTATATTTGGAGAAAGGCAGAGGAAATTTCATCACAAACTGATATAGAAGTGTAGCAAACCAAAAGGAGAGAGAGAAATTAAAATAATCTGAAACTGACAGATATGTTCATACCTAATGGGACCTATCAGCCATTCAGGTGATGCGACTGGTGACCGTGACCCAATAGGACCTTACTGGTCACAGCAGCACACTACTGTATTAGCTGATTTAAAACCCTACATCGGGCACCAGCCTGATTTGAAGTCTTCCTTAGTTCAACACAGCGTGGCAGAAACGCAGTTGGCACTCAGACCGGGATTATTTCACATGCACCTCTGCCCTAAGCTGTGGCATTGAGTTGAGTATATTGCATCATTTGTGGCATCACACCCTGAAAACTCAGCTGGTGCAGCAAACTCCGAGGGCACCTGTTGCACCTGAAGTAGATAGAATTTTGGCTCCATGATAGGGTACCCCTGCTCATTCCCTTGCCACCATTTTGGGGGATGGAGGGAAGAGGCAGGGCAAAATACTGTGCATTACCATGTTGCATACAAATATTATCTTTCATGTTACCTGGAAGAGAACTTGCTTCTTTCTCGAAGATAAAGGAACTGCTTGCTTGTTGAACTCTTGCGTCTTAATACCAAAGTGGGTTACGATCCATAAAATCACAGATGCATTGTGGGGTTTCTCTTGACATGGCTTTGTGGAGAAGTCAAGCCTTGGTTCTTGACGCACGCTGTTGCAAATAGGAAAAGAAAAGGAAGTCGGAAGATTGGAGATAAGTATTCCAGTGTCAGAGCTCCCCCGCCCTTTCTCCTTCATCCCCACCAGAACCGTGTTTCACTCTAATTTCAAAAGCCCCTTTGAAGAGAAAGAGAGAAAGATTTAACTAACCTGATTAAAGTGGCACTGTGGGTGTAAGGCTATTTTGTAAAAATGATTAGTTTTCAGAAGGAACAGGCATTTCATTTTCCTAAGTGCCCATTTTTTTGTTCCTTCCCTAATGAAGGAAAACAATAAAAAGAGAGGAGTTTGTCAACCTTCGAGAAATGAAATGGAAAAGCTTGTCAAGGTGAGAAACTTGTTGGGGAAAGTGAAAGCCAATTTTTCCTTATGATACAGCAGGTTTGGCCTGCAGGATTCCATAGCGGGAAGGGGACGGCTTTTTCTGTTTTTTGTTGGAATGCTTCTGAAACAAAGATAATCGGGAACAGACACACGATTCTTTGCAATCTGGACAACCTTTGTGTTACAAACACCAGCAAGGGTTCAGCCCCAACCACACATTTTCCTCTTTGTGTAACTGGGCGGGGGGAACTTTTGCCAACTCACACCCAATATAGTATGTACTGGGGAAAAGTCAGAATCAAAGGTCTGGGGGTGAATCTGTAGTTTGAGGGTAGAGAGGAGATCCTTTGCAGAAGATCCTTTGGTAAATCTGCTTAAAAAAATAATGATCACATAGCTAATGACCTGGAGGGCCCCTGCCTGGGTTCAGTGGACAAATAGCCTGATCTGGTGCAAGGTGGCTTCTTCCTACGATCTGTTCTCCATGTATGTTGATAGCACTGGATGTAACTGACTGGGATGTGGACCCACTGAACTGCATCCAAAACTGGGGCCAGACATGATAGGGGCAGCCCCAGTCACATGCCTAGTGGGATCTGATGCTAATGTTAGAATGTGCACACAGCTGAGGGGAGCCAACAGAGTTGGCCCAAAGCATTGTGTTGCCTGAGAAGGACAAGATGGCGCCCTCATTCCATTTATGGAACCAGAATAGACTGGCTGTGGAATATTACTTCAACTCTGGGGATGGGGTAACTGAGGGCTAACTTAAGAGGGCACAGGGTAGGCCGCATGAGTGTCAACATCTCTCTGCTGCTCCCCCACACCTTCAACATCAGCCACCTGAGGCAGCCTCCTCACTCCTGCCTAACAGTAGAGCCGGGCCCTAACCATTCTGCTGCTTCCCCTTGCCACTATCTACCTCATATCAGACATTTTTTCTCTCTGCTTGTAAGTACTGGAACCAGGCTGAGAGTAATGCGCTTGCTGCAAAGGATGAGAAGGGAGAGGGAACAATAAGTGTGGCTGTCTCCATCATGGCTAGTTTTAGCCCCAATGTTGACTTCCTCAGTTTGCTGTGTGGACAACCACACCACAGATGGTAAATGTATTTATGTAAGTCACAGAAAAGCCATTGCAGACAACGCAGCATGGAGCAGTGTCTGCTGAGGAGGCAGCAGATCATGCCTCAAGGGAGCGTGACACAGCCATCGCTACCACTGCGGCAGCAGGCAATGCATTCCTTGCAGGCTGGATCTGCTGCCCCTGTGGATCCTGCCACGCAAGGCAGTTGCCTCAGCTTGCCTCATGGGTGGGCAATCCCTGGCTCTGCCTCCATAGCTGGAGGCAGTTGGATATCTGTTGTTGCTTGTGGTTTCCCACAGACATCTGGTTGGCTGGCCACTGTCAGAACAGGGCGCTGGACAAGATGGGCCGTTGGCCTGATCCAGTAGGCTTTTAAGAGGAAGAGCTTCCCTCTGGCTTTGTTCTCTGCTGCTCAGTTGCAGTCTAGAGAGCTTGGCCTTGCATTGTCTTTCTGCTAAGCTTTCGGTCTGCGCAGTCATCTAAATGTGCACCCAACCACAAGCCTTCCACTTCATTAAGGGACTATTGTTGTCATGCAAATCGGTGCTTTTCAAACTATGAAGTGGCGGGTTAGTAATTCCCCAGCCCCAATGTGCCAGGGACAGGTACCATATGTGGTCCTTGAAGCATCCCACCCAACCTGGGTTATGATGGAATCACCACAGTCCAGCAGCCAATGGCTCACGGAGAGGCACCTGTCTGTGAACCACCACTTTGAGTAGCACTGAGGTAAATCATGGTTCACCTTATGAAAGAACAATTATTGTTGTAATGACTTTAAAAAACCAAACAAACGAGGCATTGTGCAGAAATGGGCTACTTTTAAAATGAGGCTGCATTTTAAATTGCATTTTTAACCTGTATTTTACATTGGTCCCGGTCCCCCCCACATTATGTTTTTACTGTGATTTTAATAGTGTCAGCTGCCCTGGCTGGGGAGGGTGGGGTATAAATAAATATTATTATTATTATTTATTATTTATTTATTATTATTTATTATTATTATTATTATTATTTATTATTATTATTTAGTATTTATTATTAAATACAGGCCCAGCCCAGTGGGCTTGCAACCTAATTTAGACAGAAATAAAATTAAAAAGAAAAATTAAAAACTAAGAATTGGAAGAGAAGGCATATTATCTCAGAGGAAATGGAAGGGACACCTAGGGTCATCTAGTACAACCCCCACAATGCAAGAATCTAAACATGCAGTCCCCCATCCAACTTGATGGGACCCTGCTTAGCTTTGCAAATGTGTGAGCAGTTTTACTGCTGAACCACTAACAGTGCGCCTTATACAGAGCCAGTGGCTCTCCTGGATTTTAGGGAGGGTTCTCTCCCAGCCCTACATGCAGTTTTTTGTGGATCAAATTTGAGAACTTCTGCAAGCAAAGCAGATGCTTCACCACTGAGCTACAGCTCTGCCCTTTACACACACACACACACACACACACACACACGCTGAAATAAATTAGTCTTGAGGCATTTTTTTTTAAGTGGAAGATAAGCGGTTTGATGAATATCAGTGAGTATAAAGAGTTCCACAGAAAAGGATAAAGGATAGGAAAAGGTCAAGGGCATGGAACAGAAGAAAAGGTTTAACTAGCTTTAACTAGCGACAATGAACCAGAGGAATGCACAGGCAGAGGAGGCAATTATAGTGGGGCCAGAGATGAGAGATAAACTGGAGAATAAATACAGCTGAACGGAAAGGACAATATAAAACCTGACATCCTAAAAGGAAAAGGTAAATAATGAAGTGGGATCAAAATTAGAGCAACATGACTGAATTTAGACATGTGCCTCTCCTCCAGATGTGGAAGGCAACCCAGAGCAGAGACACACTAGATTTCATGTTAAATCCCCATAGGATAGCGAGGCTTTCTGGGTATCTGGTGTGGCCTGAAACTTACTCCAGAATCCCCATCAAGTGATGGGGGGTTCTGCAGAAGTGATTCCTTAACAGCCAAATCTAAGCAAAAATATATTTTTCCAGAGATTTTCCTAAGGCCTCATCTGCACCATACATTTAAAGCAGTATCATACCACTTTAAACAGTCCCGGCTTCCCCCAAAGAATCCTGGGAACTGGGTGATTTGGTTGTTAGGAGGCCTGTATTCCATGAACAGAGCTACAATTCTCAAGAGTGCTTTAACAAGCAATCTCTCTTCTCGGGGAACTCTGATGAGGCCTGAGAAATAAATGATTGGAAACCATTGCAAAGAGGCCATTCAGCATTTTCACAGGAAAGCACTGTTGTCAAGTGAGCTAGAGCAGAGCTCCAGTTTGCACCAGTAAACAACACTCACACTGGGAAAACACAGTCCTTGTAAATCTGGTAAAAGTGGGAGGTATGAAAGAGTGAGTTATCTTGAGGGCCAAACTAAACGTTCGCTTAAATGCACAGGATGCATTTCATTTTATTTCTTTATTTAATGCATTTATACCCTGCTTTTCACTGTGAAAATTCCTTGGTAGCACTAAGAAAGCTGTTTTGCCAGTGAAAATATTTTTGCTTGTGCAATGGAACGTTCCCCCACTCTCCTCCAGGCACCCTAAATCTGTTCTAGAGTTTCCCTCAACCCTCTGGAGTAGACCAGGGTAGAGTTCAGGTCATGCACAGAGGCCGAAGAGGAATTAAAGTCCCACCGTGGAAGTGGAAATCCTTGCTTGGTGACGGGATACATTAACAGGATACTGTACTATGGGAAGAATTCAATGTAGTGCTAAGGAGATTGCTCTATCGGTGCAAGAATTTCTGCTTGCCTGATAGAATTAGCTCACCTTTCCTCCAGACGCATGCGATTCTAGGATTCTCCCCCAGCCCAAATTGGAGGGATACAGAGAGAAGAGTGGGGCGGGGGGAGCCCAATTGCACTAGCAGAAATCCTTGCACAGGCTTCTGCTACTGGGACCGATTAGCTGAGTCTGACCCTAAATGTCTCAAAGTACTTTGTATGGGTAGGTGATGGTGGTGGTGGTGGTGATGATGATGATTCTTACGGAGAAGTCAGTGAGCGAGGAATGGTAGCTTGCATTCCCACCCACCACCCACCTTGACTGGCTTGCCCCCACTCCTTGTCCACACAGATAGGAAGGAGCCTTAGAAAAAGCCCCATTAGCACCAACGGATACTCCCTTCCAAGGTTCCTAGTCAAGTTGTGTGTGGTGTGTGAGAGAGAACTAATCTCCAGTCCACTCATGGTAGAGTGAAGAGATAAGTCTCCACTCACACATGTAAGAATCACCCATCTGCACCTATAAGCAATTGAAGATGAACGAGCAAAATTTGGCAAACATCTAGTTTGAGAGGTGAGAAAATAAAATGGACCAGCAATGTGGCAAGCCTAGTTGGGAAGGGGGGGTGAGGGAGAGCTCAACTTCCACCCTCCCCACAGCGTTATCAAGGACTCATCATAGTATAGCAATTACTCGGAGGGAAACAGAAAATGAACAGCAGAGAAATATTGGTTCCTAGGGTTTGTCATTCTTTCCAAACCTCATGGTTATTAGACGTGGAGGTGACAAGACGGCTGCTTGCTAGCAGAAGGGAGGAGAGGGCTGCTGAGGCCTGCTGGTAGCCCCATGGCAACGAATGCCCCCTACGTTCCCCCGGCATCCCCTTTGGTGGATTTCATGGCTGAAGGATGGCGTGGGAGCGACGTGAAAGCAATTGCTGAAAACCGGCAAAGGAAAATATCAGCGAGGAACAATTGTGTAGCTGACTGCGCTCCACGCAGGGGAAAGGATTTGAAGAAAGCTGTTGTCGTTTATATAAATCTAATATACTCCCTGATAAAAACCCAATCGTGCTTATTATTAGCATCATTATTTTGTCAATTTTCAACTAGCTTTTGTTCTCAGGGCTCACTGGAGCTAATAGCAGGAATGCTTCCTCTCCAAAAACTGCACATTCAGAGTTAGTTAAAATATTAAAATTTGGCAGCCAGCTTGGTGGGGTGGGGGAGTCGCTGCAAACTCACAAAGCGCCCTGCCTTCTCGTCTGTCTGCTGAGAAAACAGCAACTTGTGGTTTTGCATCTTGCGGGTGAAGCTCTGGGTAACAGCTCTGATGTTAACATGGCCCATGCAAGTGGGCCACTGACATGAGCTGTCTTTCTTCCTCAAAGTCAGCATAATCACACTATTTATGGGAGGAAAGCTTTGAAAAGTATTTGAGGATATGATCGCGGTTGCCGCTAATGGCGCGTACCTCTCGGTACCAATTATCTACCCATCAGTTTGAACCCCTCATTCATTTTTAATGAAACACGCGAAAGTGATTTCACTTACCGTCCTGTGGGATTGCAGCATGATCTTATTTTTGTCTTGTGCTTTAAAGCTCCTTTGCTTTTGCTTTTCTCTCAAGTGCTGAACGCTGTTGTTCTGTCTATACAGTTTACTAGAAGAGGCATTCAGAGCATCTGTTCCCCAAACTGGCTCCCCCTTGGCCTTTATGGGATCCGGAGTTTTTAAGTAAACAACCCAGCCTGATAAGTCACATTAAAATATTGATCCATGTGGGACGGCTTTCGCTCCTCTGCATGGCCGAGGGTGGTTTGCTTGGACGTAGTAAGCCAAGGGGGGGGAAGGGGGGTAACTATAAGTTATTTATCCTCTTTGCTTGGGACAGAGTTGTAGAATCGGAATCGGGGGCTAAGAGAAGGGAATTGTTAGATTATGCCAGACCTACTGAAAAAAGGTTAGAGTATTCTGAAGGTTAGAGTATTTGGAATTCTCTTTCTGTGTTGGTTGTTTGATAATTGTTTGTAAATTTCAAAAACTGAAAAAACCCCCTAAATAAAATACAGTAAGGGAAAAAGAAAGAAAAAAGGTTAGAGTATCTCAATGCAACCACATACAGTGGTACCTCAGGTTAAGTACTTAATTTGTTCCGGAGGTCCATACTTAACCTGAAACTGTTCTTAACCTGAAGCACCACTTTAGCTAATGGGGCCTCCCGCTGCTACCGCACTGCCAGAGCACGATTTCTGTTCTTATCCTGAAGCAAAGTTCTTAACCTGAAGCACTATTTCTGGGTTAGCAGAGTGTGTAACCTGAAGCGTATGTAACCCGAGGTACCACTGTACAAAGCAGGGATAATCCCAGAGGCCTTGTTCTGTAACACAACAGATAAAACAGTAAAACTGTTTTCTGGACCACACCAGTTAGACTGCAGGTAGGGGCAAATATGACTGAAAACTCCTCCATATAAAAAAAACCCTTCTCCATATAGTAAGCAAGCACATAGGGGAAAGAGTTATTGTAAATAACTAATTTACTAAATGTGCTTGGAGTGATATCTACAGTGAGCTTCCATTTGAGCCTTTACTTACAGTCTGGAATGATAGTATCAAGAAACAAGTCTTTTCTATACCAAGGGCTGTTTGTGAAGACCAGGCTCAAATTCCACTGAAATCCATGGATGTTAGTCACAACCATATCCCCGTTTCATGGTTGGAATGGGATGTGCAGCCCAAACTTAGGCTCCTTTACTTGAGAACACACCCTGCTGAGTCAAATGGGACTTCCTTCAAATGGGATACAGCTCTGCAGCCAGTGGCTGGCATTGAAATAGTGCCAGGGTCAATTCTAGCGCTACACAGAGTAGTGGTCAAGACTGACTAGGGTTTATGAATTTCAATGTTATTTGAGTTCTTTGTTACTCAGAAAATATAACACACTAGCAAGCGCAGAGACCTACAGATTAAGGGCAGTATACAAATTTAATAAATAATAATTTCATTACTGTGAAGTTCATCTAAACAAGCGGGCTTTGGGGAACTGACTGCTTTTGATGAAAGGGCTGCTGCCGTGCTGTTTTTATTGTAATTATCTGTATGTTTTAAGCAGATTTTATATATGTATATAGTTTTAATTCTATTAATGTTTAAGTGTTTTTAATTATTTTTTTTCCTATGTTTTCAGCATTCATAGAGCGGCTTATTATTGGTTTCCTGACAATTGTGTTATTTGCAAATAGATTATTTTCCCCCTGGAAGGAAATAACACAGAGATGAGTGCTAAGCTTGCTGTCTAGTCTTCCAGAAGTGGCCTTTATGTTCCATGAAAGCACACATACAATGCAGAAATTAACAGATAGGGAAACATCAGGAAAGTGGAATAATCTGTCGTGTGAATGCAGCCTAACAGAGTTATGCAGCCAAATAGATTTGAAACAGCTGAGGAACTGAGAGCAAAGAACAAAAACAGCAGAGAAGCAACAACAGACCAGGGGAAGAAGAGATGTTGAGCAGCATCAATATAATACAAATATTTTATGGCTTTTTTCTTCACCATAGCTTGTTCACCAGCAACAAATGTGCTACTTTTGAAGCAGAATTCAAACCAGGGGGTTATTTGGAGTGGATGCATCCCTAACTTACACTTACCCTCGTTTGGGTGATTTGTCACTGGTGATCTTTTTGTTCTGTGCCCTTTATTTTCCGTGTTAATAATTTCCCTGTGTGAGTTCACGGTGATACAGCATCTCGCCTTTGGTCGCTTGCCCACCTTGTTGCTACAGATGAGACTTTTGAAGACTTGTGCAATGAAAATTTTGCAAAGGGTATGGATTTCCCCCATCGCATGCAGCTGCCAACCCGAAATTTAGGGTTGCAAAAGTTATGTGTTCCCAGCTTGACCCAGTTCTTTGGAAGGTCATGCCAAGTAATTTTAAAAGAATAGTTTGTTCAGATTCCATGAATTCACTTGCCTGCTTGCCAGCAGCCACTACCTCTCAGTCGTCTGGCCAATGCTTGGACTCACATGTGAATGCACATGACTCAGGAAAGGAAGGGGGTCAGCACTGGCCACATATAGAAGCTTGGATACTAAGCCAAGCCAAAATGGGTTTCTGGCGGTATTGAATGAATTAGAAGAGAAAGGTCACAAAGAGTGATGCTGAAGTATCATCATGGGGTTTCAAGGGTGAAAGGAATCTTTCAGAGTTACGCTTAGTTATCAACCCTTGCACAGATAAGAGTTGGTTATTCTTAAACCCCATTCAACAAACATATACCAAGAGAGTCAGGGGATTTTCCATTGCACCAACTGGTTTTTTGAAATGCAGGAAGCAAGTTTTGGAGGAACAAAGAACAAGTTGAAAACGGATGTGGACTGAGAATAGGGTGACTTGCCCATCTCTGCCACAGGCCCACCAGAGTCATTGACCCTAATATGGCGTGGATTGTGCTTAGTTGCATGTGATTAAAAGAATATAAGAAGGTTCTGCTGGACCATAAAAAAATATAAGAAGGTTCTGCTGGACCAGGCCAGTGGCCCATCTGGTCCTGCATCCCGTTTTTACAGTAGCCCACCAGATGCCTATGGGAAGCTCATAAGCAAGATCTGAGCACAACAACAACCTCCACCTCTATGGTTTCCAGCAAAGCGGGTTCTCCTTCATGGAGAGCACATGTTGCGGTGGGAGCAACCATGACCTCCCTGTTGCTGGGCAGGTTTGTTTGGATGGCCATGAATTTGATTGGACACCTTCAGTTGTTGCTGGGGAAAAGTTATTGTTGCAATTTTATTTGATTGATGGGGGTGCTATATATGTTCCCTGTGTGCAGCGTTGAGCTTCCTCTTTTCGCTGCGCACATCAGATTACCCGCCCACCCTCCCTTTATTTAGGGTTTGTTCATGCTGACCTTGCTATGCCTGTCATGGGGTCGTCTGCTTTGGGCAGGGGCCTGGTAGGAATTTTACCATTTGGCTGATTGGCTGGTGCCATTTGGGTTTTGCCTACTGCGTGGCAAATTGTCACAACTTGTAAGGTTGCGGTTAGGCATTGGTTAATTTTTGGTTGGTGGAGGGGATGTGGTTGGCTGTGCCTGCCCCTCCAGTGCTGCTGCTGCAAGGGTATTCCGTTAAAGGAATCCAGGGTCTCTCCATGCTTTTGTCCGAATCCCTGGCAAAGGGCTAGGGCCATGCAAGAGCCCCTGGGAGCATTTGGGGAGAGGTGAGAACCTGGTGCCCAGCTTTAATCTCTCCCCAAAATTGTTTAACCTTACTTCCGCAGGGGTGCGATTGTCAGTGTTTTTATTCGGGGTGTCTTGGGGGTCTTCGACACGCAACCAGTATTTATGGACCACAATTAGAGTGAAACTGAATTAGTGAAAGTAAGATACACCAATTCATTATATTCAGGAGAAATTGCTTGCAAAAATGTATGTATTAGGAGACTAACTACTGCTTTATTATTTATTTGCCACCCATCTGTTTTGCCCCAGCCTCTCAGGGCGGCTTCCAGCAAAATATAAAAACACCATAAAACATCAAGCATTAAAAACTTCCCTATACAGGGCTGCCTTCAGATGTTGTTTTCTACAAGTCAGAGGATGTTACACAGGGCAGGCACCACTACCAAGAAGGCCTGGTTCCCTGTAACTTCACTTCTTGCAGTGAGGGAACTGCTAGAAGGCCCTCAGAGCTGGACCTCAGTGTCTGGGCTGGAAAAAGGGGATGGAGACACTCCTTCAGGTATATTGCACACTTAAATGCTGATGACTTTTCATGAGGACTTAAAAAAATAAATAAATCACAAAATCATGGATCTGTGGTGAACTGACTGGGAAAATGAGCAATGGAGAGAAACAAAAATGAACAGATTTCTCCATTCCTGCTTTAGAGGACATGTGGAGAAAAGCTTCCTTTGAGTTTTCTCCAGCCTGGTTGCCTGGTCTTACACATCTGGTTACTGGAGAGGGACTCTCTGCTTTGCTCAGAGATCCTCTCTGTCATAGATGAAAGGACTGGAATTGGCTCTGCAGTGGAGCTAATTTCTCCCAGACATTAAGTCAGAGATGAAAACCTGAGGCCTTCCAGATGTTGTTGGACTCGAACTCCTATCATCCCTAACCACTGGCCATGCTGACTTGGACTGATGGGAGTCAGAGTCCAACAACATCTGGAGAAACACAGCATACCCATCAGCATTTGTCTCGGGAGTCGAGTGTGGATTTCATGCTCTTTATTCAGCTCATAGTAGTGAGGAATGCCAGTTCCCCCGAAATGTCTGCTTTATATACATTATTTACACAACGGGCCCCACATGATTGGCTAATTCCAGGATTCTCCTGTGGGCCAATCAGGTTGCGGATTCACTTCCACCTGGAGTTGGATTGGGTGGCTCCTGTGGACCAATCAGACTGCTGCATTCTGGATCCTTTTGTTCTAGGACCAATCAGACTGCTGCATTTTGGATCCTATTCAACTCAGTACATAACAATAGGGATGTTCTATTCTATTATTATTATTATTAATACCCCATCTGTCTGACGGGGTTGTCACAGGCACTCTAGGCAGCTTCCAACATATATAAAAACATAATGAAACATTAAAAAACTTCCCTATACAGGGCTGCCTTCAGATGTCTTCTAAAGGCTGTATAGTTACTTATCTCCTTGGCTTGGAGGTCACATACCGTAACTCCAAACCCTCCAACATTTCTCCAATGAAGATAGGGACATTCTAAGGAAAATCGGGACATTCTGGGATCAAATCAGGAACCGGGATGGCTCCTGTATATCTGGGACTGTCCCTGGAAAATAGGGACACTTAGAGGGTCTGCCACAAGTTTCCTGTACTAGGCTGCATGGACTTTTTTCTTCTTGATGTCCCAGTTAACTAAAGTTATTTTGACAAGACTCATTGAAAGGAAATGAACTTATGATAGTCATGAATAACAAGGCTTAGGGACCAGTTAATTTTTTATTGTGTACAGGCTGTACCATCTATAATTGTGGCTTCAGGGACCTGTGAACATCACACCTAGTACAGGCTGCATCACCTATAATCTTGGCTTCCTATTATATCATATGGAAGAAGCCTTTAAACTGCTAAAGGCATAAAAATCCTGAACTATTTTTTGGTGTGGCTGAGAGAGCATAACAATGCATCATTATTTCCAGAGCACTTAAGGTGCACTAGGCATGAAAATGTGAAGACAATTCATACCAAATCACTGACCACACTTACTAATAAAGTTTGAGACAGTAGGCGTCAGAGAGGGAACAGAAAGAGACCATGTCAGTGTTGAGCAGAAGGGAATAAATCCGGAACGAAGAAAAGCTGCAAACCAATTACAATCCTATGCCTGTTCCCTCAGAAAGAAGCCCCGCTGTTCTTTTTCAGAAGAAAAATAACCTACCTGTCTGAAGTACCTTAATGTCCAGCAGATAAACCCATTTGTCAGCTGGTGAGGAGAGGCAGTAACGTGCCTGTCTTGTGCCTAGATGAATTAAATTGCCTTTGTCCTGTGGTTCCTAAACTTCCTTCCCTCAGGGAAATTGCATCCATTTTGATGTCAAGGAATCCCTCTGAGCCAGCGGCAGTCATCCTGCCTCTTGAAGATGGGGACACTGTAGTGTGTTTTTAATTTTTTAAAATAATAATAAGTTATATTATTTATAATAAATATTACTTACAATATGCCCGCCCTGTGGAACACCCTCCCATCAGATGTAAAAGTGATACACAAGTACCTGACATTTAGAAGACATCTGAATGTTTTTAATGTTTTTAATGTGTGACATTTTAATGTATTTTTAATCTTTGTTGGAAGCCGCCCAGAGTGGCTGGGGAAGCCCAACCGCATGGGCGGGGTACAAATAATAAATTATATTGTTGTTGTTGTTAAACTGCTTTGTTTTCAATTTGTATGTCTTGATTTTATTTTCTTTGTTTGTCACGTTAGGCAAGGGTCCACAGCCCAGTTCCTAGCTGGCCAGGTGGGGCTTGCTAGCTCTGGGAGAAGGTGTATGATTCCTCAGCTGCAGTAGGCTCAGGACAGGTGAGGGTCACAGGCCTCATCAAGCCCAGATGCTGCAATCAAGTGCAAAAGGGAAGCCAAGCTGAGGTCTCTGCAAGACTCCAGGATCTCTGCAAATGTTTGGTTTGGATTTCGGAAACATGGAATGAGCCCAGACTTGACGTCCTGACTTGCTGGCAGGTAGGCCAGGGTTTTGGGACAGTGGGATAGATTCCTGTTGACCCTCAGGGTTCTCTTTCAACGAGGCCTCTTTCTGAGGGAACGCACATAGGATTGTAATTGGTTTGCAGCTTTTCTTCGTTCTGGTTTTATTCCCTTCTGCTCAACACTGACATAGTCTCTTTCTGTTCCCTTTCTGACGCCTATTGTCTCAAACTTCATTAGTAAGTGTGGTCAGGGATTTGGTATGAATTGTCTTCACATTTTCATGCCTAGTACACGTTAAGTGCTCTGGAAATAATGATGCATTGTTATGCTCTCTCAGCCACACCAAAAAATAGTTCAAGTGGCCACAAAAACATCTTGTGGAATCAAAGCTATTGTTATTTAAGTTTAGAATAACTAAATATAGAAAAATGAACAAAAAGCAGAAAATGTGCACACATGCTGAGACTAGGAATGAGTTTAAAGGTTTTGGAGGGGGGAAGCCTTCACCAGGTGCTGGAAAGAAATGCCAGGCAAGCATTCCAAAGCCAGGGTGCCACCACGAAGAAGGACCTGCCACCCATAACTTGCTGCCCTTCCTCAGTTGGCAGGGAAGCCCAGAGGAATGTCTCCAGGGTTGATTCCAAAGTATGAGCAGGTGCATGTGAACACAGCACAATCCTTCAGGTACTCTGCTCTGACGCACAGCCACAAGAGTCATTAAGGTCAAATCCAGTGCTCTGAACTGGGCCTGGAAGCAGGCTGGGAGCCAGGGCAAGTTGGCAAAGGACCGGTACAATGTGATCAGCGTGACGCCAGTGTAGCAGCCTCCTAGCAGCCATATCCCAAACTTTTGTTTCCAAACTGCCTTCAGAGGCACTCCCAGGTATAACAGAGCACAGTTGTCTTATGCTTGCTTAGTTCTTGCTTCCTTTGGCATTCTGTCTCCTCTGACATTCGTCTCTTTGTTCCCTGCTGGCTTCAACCATTTTTCTTTGGTGTCCGCCCCCCCCTTACACTTTTCAAGAACAAAATGATCAGGCCTTTCATTCCTCATTGTATACAGACGGAGCCATTTCAGCTGCTTAATCTGTACCGCAATATAAAACTAGGCAAGAGTAGCAAACTCCGATTGATGAGGCTGTCTCTCTCAAGGAGTTTTACTAATTTATCTGCCAGCTTGATGACTCACAGAAAATGGTCGCTTAAGGTTCAGAGAAGAGCACGGCATTAACTCTGCTGCTGCTGCTCTTTCCCCTCGTAATCAAAAGCATCTATCATTTCTCACTTAAGCTTTTATTATTAAGTAGGGTATTTTTCCCCTCAGAAAAGCCTGACAGGCTGGCAGAAGTAATTTAGATTCTCATCTCATTTTTTTTTTTTTTTGGGTAAAAAATAAAATAAAATTGCAACTACTTTCAACAGCCTTCATGTGCTGCTTTTGTTAATTATCCAGCTACAAGCCATTACCATTCAGGCTTGTTTGAAATCTCACTTGCATGAGATCATTCATTTTTTATTCTATATGTTGGCACTTGAATCAAGGGCATTATCTTTGTTATGACTAGGGAATGAATCGTTCAGCCCAATGGCATGTTACTTAGAAGTAAATTCCACTGTGTTCGTTCGTTCATTCATTCATTCATTCATTATTAACATTATTATCAGGGCGGCAAACACATCAATAATAATATTGCCATTTGCACCCTTGTAAGTGGGTTGCGCTGTGGGTTAAACCACAGAGCCTAGGACTTGCCGATCAGAAGGTCGGCGGTTTGAATCCCCGCGACGGGGTGAGCTCCCGTTGCTCGGTCCCTGCTCCTGCCCACCTAGCAGTTCGAAAGCACACCAAAGTGCAAGTAGATAAATAGGTACCACTCTGGCGGGAAGGTAAACGGCGTTTCTGTGCACTGCTCTGGTTCGCCAGAAGCGGCTTAGTCATTTTGGCCACATGACCCGGAAGCTGTACGCCGGCTCCCTCGGCCAGTAAAGCGAGATGAGCGCCGCAACCCCAGAGTCAGCCACGACTGGACCTAATGGTCAGGGGTCCCTTTACCTTTAAGTGGGTTTAGGGTTGCAGCCTAAACACCTGTATAAAAAAGTTTGTCCTATTGAGCACAATGGGAATTCCTTCCTAGTAGACATGCATTAGATTGTAGTGAACATCTCAGGATGGAGTAGCAAGTCTTGACCCAAAACCAAGGGAAAACACACTCAGAACTGCCAATGTGGCCTGAAACCAAAGTTTCATATAATGGGGAATTTGTGTGAATGCAGGGTTTTCAAGGCGTGGGATGAATGAATGTGTCACCTTTGGCTTCTTTCAGTTGTTCATGTTCCCAAGCATCAGTCCAGTTCTCTACATTTCCACATCAATTGAAGATGGGGGGGGGGGGGAATCCCATCAAAACCAATCAACACTTTAACGTGCATTTCTAATATTTACATTTTTATGCAATTTTATACACAATTTTGCCAAGCGATTCCCTCCAATTTAATTCATCTTGGTACATTATTTTCAGCAGTGCACACATTTTTGTGCACATTATTCACTTGGAGAACCATGGAGTTTTTAATGCAGGTTTAATGCACGGAAAAGGTCCCGTGTTGATATTCAGAGCTAATTCCAACATTGCTATCCCTCCCCTCATTGTGGAAGCTTCTAAAATAAACGATTTGTGGGGCAGGGGCTTCATCCACATGGGGATGTGACATTGAGAAACGTGGCCAGCACATTTTTCTGCTCTGGTACACAAGTGGATAGGTCTATTTCCCACTCAGTCATCTCACAGCCCAGAAGGAGGGTAGCAATTAGGAGAGAAAGAGTCATGTCACTAACTCCTTCTCACATTTGGGAAGGCTGCATTTGATGGAATGGCGCAGTGCAGACCCAGGATCTCAGGACCAAGCAGACAGGATTGTGGATGGTTAGCAATCCCACCCATCTGCTGGTGCCCCCACACAACCTCGACAAATGTTCTGTGAAGAAGATAAAACCACGAGTTGAATGTTCCCCATTATCCCTGTTAGATTTCTGGAGCATCTAATTGCACAACTATTCCGACTGTTGCTGATGCCCTGTGATGAAAGAGAGATGAAGAAATCCCTTTTATTTGCTTGGGGCTGATAGCGATGGGGCAGATCATGCCAGGGCCCGAAATAACGGGTTGGCTGGACAGTGTGACCCCTCGTTCATCAGACTCCAGCCCTTTGTGACAGCGCTGTCCAAACAATCCTATTCAAACAGAGACCGAAAGTGCAGGTAACATGTAACACAAACAGATATATACACGCACACACAAATTACTGCCTGGTACAGGGTTACCCCAAATCGACCTGCTTACCACATGTGTCCAACTGGTCAAAAGGGAAGGCATTTCCAGTAAGTGTGTGTTTAGTCCTTCATGTCCTGAGGCTCTTCCTTCACAGTGGGTTATATATCAGAGCCTCGCCTGGATCTATTGCATAAAAATGAGGTCTCAGCAGGCTGCAAGTAGGCCACAAAGAGAAGTGTGTTAAGAGTCCACGAAACTCAATTGTTTATTAATTTTTTTGGTGTGTTTTTTTTTTAACAGCCCAACAAATAAACCAGGACTGGCCGGCAAAACGAGCACCTCTATTATTAATACTTTTATATAAGAGCTTTTATTTATATAAGACTTACATAAATATAATTTATATAATATTTCTTAGTCACTTGAGGCTATCTCCTGGAACTGGCTTTTGAGCTTTCCCAGGCATTGGAAGGGATAGCTGTAAATTCCTAGGAGGAAACTGGGTCATTGGCCACCTAGGGTGAGAAAACTGCTTCGATTCTAGAGCTTTGAATGCTGGGTCATTGGGGCACTGCACTAGGCTAAAGTAATAGTTCGATTCCTGGGTGCAGGCATCAGGCATTTAGGAATCCAGGGAAATCCATGAGCAGAATGGCTTCCACTTCCACAATGGGACTTTCCCTCATCAACCCCACTCAGCAGTGCCATGCACCATCATTAATCTGCTCTGAAGGGCTGAGGGACAGAGTTTGGGGGTGTACGGGGAGGAGTCGCATTGTACAAGCAGAAGACATCATCATCATCATTTATTATTTATAACCTGCCTATCTGGCTGAGTTTCCCCAGCCACTCTGGGCAGCTCCCAATCGAGTGTTAAAAACAATACAGCATTAAATATTAAAAACCTCCCTAAACAGGGCTGCCTTCAGATGTCTTTTAAAGATAAGATAGCTGCTTATTTCCTTCACATCTGAAGGGAGGGCATTCCACAGGGCGGGTGCCACTACCGAGAAGGCCCTCTGTCTGGTTCCCTGTAACCTCACAATGAGGGAACCGCCAGAAGGCCCTCGGCGATGGATCTCAGTGTCCAGGCTGAACGATGGGGGTGGAGACGCTCCTTCAGGTATACAGGACGGAGGTCGTTTAGGGCTTTAAAGGTCGGCACCAACACTTTGAATTGTGCTCGGAAACGTACTGGGAGCCAATGCAGATCTCTCAGGACCGGTGTTATGTGGTCCTGGCAGCCACTACCAATCACCAGTCTAGCTGCCGCATTCTGGATTATTTACAGTTTCCAGGTCACCTTCAAAGGTAGCCCCACGTAGAGCGCATTGCAGTAGTCCAAGCGGGAGATAACTAGAGCATGCACCACTCTGGCGAGACAATCCACGGGCAGGTAGGGTCTCAGCCTGCTTACCAGATGGAGTTGGTAGACAGCCACCCTGGACACAGAATTAACCCGTGCCTCCATGGACAGCTGTGAGTCCAAAATGACATTACACAGCATAGAGGGATACTTAGTGCTACGTTGAATATAGCCCCCATTTCTTCTGGGTCCTCCTTGGAGTGATCAGGCCCACAACACATCTGGAGGGAGTGACTTCAGCCCTCCGTTTCTCCATCCCAAAGGATGATTCTCAGCTGAGACTATATGCAAACGCTTACAATGTGGCCCATTACAATATTGGTCTGTGTGGATGTGTGGAAGCAAGCTTCCTTCACTCACATCCGCCCCTGGCTGGATCCATTCACTGGGGCTCTTAAGAGAGCTGAAAGTAGGAAAATAATTTAAGAAAAGCTCTGCTGGATCAGACCAAAAGCCACTTAGTTCAGCATCCTGTTCACGCAGTGGCCAAACAGTTTGCCTCTTGGAAGCCTACACACAAGACCTGAACGAAACAGCTCTCTTCCCACTTGTGACTGCGTGTCGAGGTCCCCAAGCCACCCCTAAATAAATCCACACTTCACGCCATAATTTTTGTTTAAGGTTTTTGGCATAATTTTGGCCACAACTTTATTAAAATACAAACAATGTGAGTGGTTTCTTAGGCATTGGTTACGACTATCTGTCCCCACCCAGGGACAGAACTGACATCCGCAAGCCTGCGAAGCCAGTGAGGGAAAACATTTTATGGGGAGTAGATGGAGCTGGGTACCAGACCCTCAGCTCTCCCCAAATGCTTCCAGGGGCTCTTGTGTGGCCCTATCTCCCTTTACAGGGGTGCGGACAAAAGCATGGTGAATCCCTGGATTCCTTTAACGGAATACACTTGCAGCAACTGCATTGTAGGGGCAGGCACAGCCAATCCATTCCCCTCCACCAACCAATTTTTTGTGGCCAAACAGTTTGCTTCTTGGAAGCCTACACGCAGGACCTGAACGAAACCGCTCTCTTCCCACTTGTGATTCCCAAAAATCACACTACCTGTGGTTTGTACACTCATTCCTGTCACCCTAACGCCAACCCTCTGGGGGGAAAAAAGATCACCTGTCTCTAGTTGAAGAATTCTCTCTCTTTCTTTGTCTTTTCCATGCGTGCCTAGGAAGACTGCACTTAAGCTAAGACAAGACAAGTGATAAAAGCCTCATTATTCTGCCACGCTGATAAATACTTAGATTCTTATTAAATACGACAAATTATGAAAGCTGATCAGAATCACCATCCACCGCAATCTTCAAAAATAACAGCCACTGCTGTCAAAGCTGCTCAGCTATTTTTCAAATCCAGTGACAGCCCTCCCCTCTTCCGCCTCCCGCGTTAGTAAATTGCTTTGGATGAGTTGCTTCGCTGGGGACAGAGATGTTTCCTTTCATTTATTTCAGATGCACTTGCTGTTAATCCCCGATGGGGAGTCGTTGCTCTCATGTTCTGCCTCAGTATGACGAGGTAACTTCTCCAATCTCTTTTGCAATGGAGATGTAAAATTTCCTGGTCATTTTGCATCCCACCCCCCAACTCAAATCCATGGACATTAATTCTAGAGAAGGTGTGTTAGCTGTGATGTAAATGTTACTTGTCAGATGCACTTAGAGCTGAATCCAGAGGCGCTTCTGTTTTGCTAATGCCTATCATTACCGCTACAAGACTTCATTCCCATGCATGCCTTTTTTCAAAGTACAGTGGTACCTCAGGTTACATATGCTTCAGGTTACACACGCTTCAGGTTACAGACTCTGCTAACCCAGAAATATTACCTCAGGTTAAGAACTTTGCTTCAGGATGAGAACAGAAATCATGCTTCGGCGGCACGGCGGCAACGGGAGGCCCCATTAGCTAAAGTGGTGCTTCAGGTTAAGAACAGTTTCAGGTTAAGTACGGACCTCCGGAACGAATTAAGTACTTAACCCGAGGTACCACTGTAAGGTCCATGGTTGCAAATCCAGAACTGGTGTTAAGTACCTGCTTGCATTAATAATAATAATAATAATAATAATAATAATAATAATAATAAATAATTTATTTATACCCTGCCTATCTGGCTGGGTCTTCCCAGCCACCCTGGGTGGCTTCCAACAAAGTATTAAAATACAGTGGTCTGTTAAACATTAAAAGCTTCCCTAAACAGGGCTGCCTTCAGATGTCTTCTAAAAGTCTGGTAGTTGTTCTTCTCTTTGACATCTGGTGGGAGGGCGTTCCGCAGGGTGGGTGCCACTACCGAGAAGGCCCTCTGCCTGGTTCCCTGTAACATTTAGCATGCAGGGCCCCCTCCCCTTTCATGCAAATAAAGATCCCCATCAGCTGGCAGTTGTAATAATTATCAGCAGTAAGAGGTGCCTTCACTGCAGCTGTCCTGAAGGAAACCTCTCCTCTGAAGCCGCCATTTGCATTGGGTGGGAATCACCACACACTAAGGAAAGAAGAAGAGCTTGCTGAATCTGACCAGTGGCTCATCTAGGCCAGCATCCTGCTCTCACGAGATGCCTGTGGGAAACCAGCAAGCAGGAACTGAGCCCAAGAGCAGCCTCCCCTCTGGTGCCAATGAGCAGGATTTCCTCCCAATGCGAATGAGAGGGAGGGAGAGGAGTTAGCAGTAAACATAAGATGAGGAGAGTAAAGTCAAGTCTCAGAACAGTACAGTGGTACCTCGGATTACAGGTGCTTCAGGTTACATACGCTTCAGGTTACAGACTCCACTAACCCAGAAATAGTACCTTGGGTTAAGAACTTTACCTCAGGATGAGAACAGAAATTGTGTGGCGGCAGCGGGAAGCCCCATTAGCTAATGTGGTACCTCAGGTTAAGAACAGTTTCAGGTTAAGAACGGACCTCCAGAACGAATTACGTTCTTAACCCGAGGTACCACTGTACTATTTTAAAAAAAATACACTGCCATGTGACCCCTACCAGGAGATTCCCCATGTAAACTGCTGCTGCAGACGAAAGATGATGGTGAGGAGCTTTTATAGAGAGGAGACAAATACACATTTACATGTGATGTTGGAATAAAAAGAAAACGGAACAGTGAGTTTGCCGTAAGGTGAGGCAGCCTCCCCTAGAAGGCAGATTTTTAGGAATCGAAAGGCAGGAAGTGGTAAATTATTTAGCTGCAGTTTTATTCCTGAGGGGCGACATCAAGATTATCTGCCTTGGGGAGCGAAAAGATTTGGTCCATCTCTGTGAAAGTGAATATGGAAGGAGATAGCGATTGGGAGACACAGATAAGATGGGAAATGTTAATACCTGCTTTCAATATTTTGGAAAATCAAAGGAGATATTAGGCTTCTGGGGTTTTTAAAGAGTCAATTCACACATTCCTTCTCTTATGAGAGGAAGTTAACACAGATTTACTTGATTTGAGTGGTTTGAATCTACCCCATCACTTATCTCAGTTTTTCTGACATGGATGCCTGAAGCCTACTCCTGACTGCTGTAGGCAATAGATTGGATGCTCAAGGGCTAGTTTCTCTCTTTTGTTACCCTGCATAGCAAATATTGTCTAGATAATAAATCATTAATCATCATTATTTACACTGAGATATCTGTGGACGTGGCATTTTGCGAAGAACAGGCCTGATAGGTCCCTGACTCTAGCATCTTACAATCTGAAAAGAAATACAGGGAAAGGGAGGAGACAGGGGGAGGAGTATGTTGTTATTTCAAATTACATGCACTTTGGCTCAGTGACAACATTGGGCATTAGGACTAGGTGTTGTTCCAAAGGATTCTAGGGAAAGATGGGCTTTGATGAGGAAGGGAGAGAGGCAAATATAAGGACACAAGAAGAGCCTTGATAGATAGATGCTGGTTCAGCATCTTGTTATCACCATGGCCAAGCAAAGCAGGTGTGCTGATGGGGAGGACCTCAGTGTAATAATAATAATAATAATAATAATAATAATAATAATAGATTTATTATTTATACCCCGCCTATCTGGCTGGGCTTCCCCAGCCACGCTGGGCGGCTTTCAACAAAATATTAAAATACAGTAATGCATCAAACATTAAAAGCTTCCCTAAACAGCTTCCCTAAACAGGGCTGCCTTTAGATGTCTTCTAAAAGTCTGGTAGTAGTTGTTCTCTTTGACATCTGGTGGGAGGGCGTTCCACAGGGCGGGTGCCACTACCGAGAAGGCCCTCTGCCTGGTTCCCTGCAACTTGGCTTCTTGCAGTGAGGGGGAACAGCACTAGATCCACTTGTGATTCCCAACAACTGTCACTGTCAATATATGGTAGCCAATGTGGTGCCCTCCAGATGTTGTTGGACTACACATCCCATCATCCCTGACCATGCTAGCTGAGGCTGATGGGAGTCCAACAACATCTGGTGGGGCACTGCGTTGGCTATAACACATGGATGGGGAACCTGCACCCCTCCAGATGTCTGGGAACTCCATCTCCCACCATCCCTGATGATGGATCATGCTGGCTGGGGTTGATGAGACCTGGAATGGTGCTCTAGTGTGAACCATCAATTTCTAAGGCAGTGGTGCCCACTGCCGGCTGTGGGCAATGGACATAACAATACAGTCAGGCTAGCTACCAGCCACGCAGAAGCTGAAGAGAAGCTGTACCAACATCTGTCCCTCCAGGCAAGCATCACAGTTCACACAGAAATTCCAGCCAGGCAAAAGCACTTAAGGAGGCTGAGGAACAGGACCATTGAAGGCCGTATCCTGAGAAGAGTGGGTCTGGCCTGTAACAGTCCCAAGGGCCAGATGGAAAGCCCTCGAGGGCCACCTTTTGACTCTGGGTTTGAGGATCTCCACCAACAGGGTTTCTTAGCGCTTTCTGTTTTTATTTCTGTAGACCAAAATGTCTGCCCTTTTGTATATCTGCCTAATCGTGTATATTTTCACTGTGCCTTTTGCTTTTAAAGGGTTGGGGCTTCCGTAACTTCAAAGTTGTGATTTCCTTGAGGGCATGGCATGGGTGATGGATTGTAGGGACATCAAGGAGAAGGGCTGACATTTTTCAAAGTTACATGTCCGTGGCTCAGCCACAACTAATATTTGCTAGCCATTGATCCGGCTTCCCTTGGTGTTATTCTTTAACTTCAGTGTGAGGTTCAAAGTTCTGTCATTTGTTTAAAAGCTGATTTCATTGCTAGGGCATGTCCTCCAGCTAATCTAACAAGTGATAGAGGGCCGGAGGGGGAAATAGAAGAGGGGGGGACTGACCAGGTGGAAATTTCTGATGCTTGCAGGCAGAAGAAAAATGCACGCTTAAGTGTCAACATGTGGCCGTGCCATGTAGGAAATAGTCCAGCATTATTAAAGATAAGAATACTGACTATAAGGATCTTAAAAGCACAAACTATAAGGATTATGTTTCACACACTGCAAACATGGCAGCAAACCTAGTTTGTCTCAGATTCTACTCTTGCCAGTGAGATTCTACTCTTGCCAGTGAGCAAACCATAGTGGACAACAGGTGTGTTTGCAAATACATATTTCTGGCAGTGCTACTGGACACACTGAGGGAGACACTTGATTTCTTTAAGGTGTACCTCTCAGAAAGCAGTGTGTGAAATATCTCTCAGTGGCTGCATGGTGATTTCAGTGTTCAAGGGAGCCCTTTTTGCCAAACATTGCCTGGGTCCTGGGCCCACCCTGGAATCAGTTACCAGCTGAAATGCGGCCTAGTGTCTTGATATTTAGACAGCTACCAAATGTATTTTTGTTCAAGAGCAATTTCCCTGGTGTGACCCAGTCATTTTAAGGAATATTGACTAGAAATTGTTGTTAGGAGAGCAGGCAGCTTGGATGACTTGAATCGAAAGTTCAAAGGCTTTATTCATGCAGGAGCAGATTTTTATTTGCAGGAACTGTTTATAGGATGAGTAGAGGAGAGAAATAACAGGCATCTTCTCTCATCATGTTAGGTGAGACAAAACAAAATGGCTCAGCTTTTAGGGATGAACTTAGACAGAGGGGCTACAAGCAAAATGTTGGCTAGATTGCTAGACAAAGAGTGGGCTTGTGTGGTTTAAAGTAACACATGCAATAGCTAAAGGCTCAAAAGAAGGAAATGTATTTGCTTTTCTCCAACATTTGTTTTATTGTTTTTAGTTGATTTGAGACTGTAGTTTTTGTATTTTATATTATTTTATTGTAAACCACTTTAGTAGCTTAGGGCTGTGAAGTAATTTGCAAGTCAATGTATTCTCCCATTGTAGACGTGCTTGTTTACCAATATCTGCAGATCAATACATCCTGCTTATACTGCCTCTTGCACAGGTATGTCTTGCATCAACCAGGACTCAGGTCTTTTCCTCCATGGCACCCAGGCTTTGGGATAACTTATCAGGAGGTTAGGCAGGGACCATCTTGATCATCAATCTGACATGTTTTGAAGATCTGCTTGTTCATGCAAACACTTACCGATTTGTATTGTTACTAACAATCATTGTTAGTAATTAATCTTATTGACCTGGTTTTTTCTACGGTGGATTTGTATTGTTGCAAATGGTTTTTTAAAATGCCTTATAATATGGAGTATTAATGTATTTTTCAATATATAATTTTTTCCTTTCCATACTGCCCTAGGGTTTCTTTTAATGGAGAGTGGTATATAGATGCTTTTAATAAAAGCAGCCACCACCATCATAATGTGTCCTTTTCATTTATTTATTTATTTATTCAATAGGTATGGAGCCATTTTCAAAACATCCAGTTCCTAGTACATCTTAGGCACTTCCAGATATTAAATAATATTGATTTTTAATATATTAACTGGACCCATTCATTTTAATACAAGCAGCACTGTGAATGCTCTCTGAAGGATATAAGCCAGTTCTAAATGAATTTCTTATTATATTTTATTTGATCATTAGTATAATGACCTATTCAGTTAAATAATAAAATTTGATATACCTCAATTAACCACCCATCTTTTAAGCAATTAACTTGATTAAATATTGGAAACCCTCAACAAAATTGCACTTTTGGAGGCTCTGGAGGAGGGGGTGGGGAAAGAGGACAAGAGAGTTTCCTAAATTTGAAGCCACCATTTTCTGGCTGCTGCTAACACACGCTTAAACTGTTTTCATCAAATTTGCCGAAGGGAGGATCAGGACTAGGTTCTGGGAGGATCCCACACCTAAGATTTTTTGTTGTGGTCAGTAATTAGCTGGGGGCAATTTTTATTTTGTGATAAAATATTTGGTTAGTCACTCCAATGAATATGAATACGGATTGGTTAACTGGATTTCCTGGATCAAGGACAACATACTCAGAGTAGACCCATTGAAAAGTCCGTTGATTTCAGGGGGTTTACTTATTTACACCATCACTTTAAACTATGGGTAGGCAAACTAAGGTTTGGGGGCCCACCCTGGAATCAGTTACCAGCTGAAATGCGGCCTAGTGTCTTGATATTTAGACGGTTACCAAATGTATTTTTCTTCAAGAGTGATTTCCCTGGTGTGACCCAGTCATTTTAAGGAATATTGACTAGAAATTGTTGTTAGGAGAGCAGGCAGCTTGGATGACTTGAATTGAAAGTTCAAAGGCTTTATTCATGCAGGAGCAGATTTTTATTTGCAGGAACTGTTTATAGGATGAGTAGAGGAGAGAAATAACAGGCATCTTCTCTCATCATGTTAGGCGAGACAAAACAAAATGGCTCAGCTATTATGGATGAACCTAGACAGAGGGGCTACAAGCAAAGTGTTGGCTTGATTGCTAGATTTATTTATTTTTCTAATTGGATACACTGGAATGACGGTTTATTTGCCAGATAAAGCAAAAGTAAAGTCTACATTATGTGTGAATTGTGTTTGGTGTGAGTCCTTTCTGTGTTGCTATTAGAAATGCACTGTTTCTGAATATGCACTGTTTGGAAATGCACACTTGAATATAGTCATAGATCAAGCAGGACTATGTTGATTGATCACCTTACATTTAAGATTTTCTCTGTTGATATTCCTGCTGATTTTGTGTGATTTTTCTTAAATTTGTAAATAGTACGTTTTAAAAAGAGTAGTGTTTGAAATACAAATATTAAACTTTCAAGGAAACAAGCCATATAATTTAAAGTACAATATGTGTCTATTTTCATAACTTCTTATTAAATTTTTCTTCTCCATCAGATGAACAATAGCCAGTAATTCCCTTCATAAATCTTAAGAAAATAAAATGGAAAAGGAACATAATCTTTAATCAAATCAGCATTTATGTTTGTATATCTAATGGAAGTATGTTTTCAAAGATATTCCAAATTAGAACACTGGATTATATTCAACTAAGGCCTCCTCAGAGCAGACCATTGAAATGTGTGAACCTAAGATGATCATGTCCATTAGCTTCAATGTGTTATTTACTTCGTTGGCATCCATCTGTCTTGGGAAACAATAGACTACTACTCTATAACAAAGTTTTTAGGATAGCTCACTTATACATTTGCTGTTTTGCTTATTTTTTCAACGCACAAATCTATAAGCTCATTATGGCAGATGAGCTCATTATCCTCCCTGTCCAGAAGTAGTTAAGCAATCTAATGGGTTTGGAAACACAGCAAATTTCTTCTGGAATGTTTGAAAGCTTTTACCATTCGGAAGTTGTCTTCATTCAGGCTGAAAGATAGTTTTAGAACTCAACAGTGTCCTCTTTGAAAGATTTACTGTGAATTCCAAGAATCCTGATTTCAGCAAATCAGAAGTTAAAGTGAAGGGAAAAAATTGCTCTTGTTCCCCTTGAACGTCAATCCTGGTGCAGAATTCAGAGGCACCAGTTTGAAGATACAACGCCAAACCTGGCCCAACTGCACTTGGCTGCCAGTCAGTTTCCTGGCCCAGTTCAAAGTGTTGGTTTTGATCTAGAAAGCCTTCAAAGGCTCAGGATCACAATACCTTCTCAAGGATTGCCTCTCCCCATATGAACTGACCCGGACCCTGAAATCATCCTCTGAGGCCCTTCTTAGTGTCGACCCTCCACAAAATGTCTGCAGGGTGGCAACACAAGAATAGAACTTTCCTGCAGCGGCTTCCAACTTCCAACATATTTTTAGGTGCCAGGCAAAAATGCTCTTCTCCCAGGCCTTTGGCTGATTAAACTATCTATGGCCTTTTAAACTGTGGGTGGGTGGGATTATTGTTTGGTTTGTTACTATGTTAGGTATTTTTGTGTTTTCATATTGTAAACTGCCCCGTGAACCTTGGGTGAAGGCGGTGTAGAAATTTTTAATAATAATACCATTAAGCTGGTTTACCAAAATTAAAGAAACACACCTTTCACTGAATGTGCACAGATATTGCCGGTTGTTTGTTCTTATAAAATAGGAGATATTACAACCAAGTTTATTCCCCCACCCCCGTGACAGTGCCTCTGCTGGTCCTTATTGCTCCAGCAAATGTGGTTTAAGAAGATGAGATGTTCATTCCCTTTATATCTACCGGCAACTTCCTCATGGTTTTGTTATCAGGTTTATTTCCTCTTGCTCTCCCTGTGGGAGTTTACTGGCTTGAATTTGGGCCTTATGCCCTCCAACATACAATGTGGCACTAAAATGGTTCACCTCCAGTTTCATATCCAGGTGTGTTATCCTCTTAATGTCTCACTAGACTCTTAACATCAGTCTTGAAATACCCACATTGGCTCCCAGTACGTTTCCGAGCACAATTCAAAGTGTTGGTGCTGACCTTTAAAGTCCTAAACGGCTTCGGCCCAGTATACCTGAAGGAGCGTCTCCACCTGCATCGTTCAGCCCGGACACTGAGGTCAAGCACCGAGGGCCTTCTGGCGGTTCCCTCCCTGCGAGAAGCCAAGTTACAGGGAACCAGGCAGAGGGCCTTCTCGGTAGTGGCACCTGTGGAATGCCATCTCATCAGATGTCAAGGAAATAAACAACTATCTGACTTTTGTAAGACCTCTGAAGGCAGCAGCCCTGTTTAGGGAAGTTTTTAATGACTGGTGTTTTAATGTATTTTTAATCTTTTGTTGGAAGCTGCCCAGATGGGTGGGGTATAAATAATAATAATAATAATTATCCATATGTTTTACAGCTAGAGACTGAATGTTGCAGCCGAAGAAGGCGCCTGAAACCTCTTTTGAGTATGTGCCTGCAAATATTGTTACACATCACTCCAACCCTCTGAAAATGAGAGACACCAGGTGTTCCAGTGCTTATCTAAGACTTGGAAGGAAGGTCAGTGGAAACTGTTGTGTCTTTAGGATATATGGGTTTGTTTGTGCATATATACAACCTGAACATAAGATGGAGGGCCTCACAGCATCAAGGCCCCAACAGATCTTGCTCCTATGTTAGTCACAGCTTTAGAGCCAGCACACAGCAAGGCATCTTTCTCCCCTCAGATCTTGCAGCATCTCTCTGCTTCCAGCTCACTCGCACCCGGCAACTGTACATTCCAGCCCCCCTTGGTTACCCTTTTTGGTTGAGTCTCCCTTGGGTGCAGCTAGTAGCAACCCAGCTCATCCATTTGAAATGAAGCAGAGCACCCTAAGTGCTACTTGGGGGTAGCTTTGGATCCCTCGGGTGAGAAACCAAGGCAGTGAATGGTATTTATACGAGGCACCTCGTTTATCTAATAGTTTTCTGTTCTGTCCTTTTGTTTTAGGGGGGTGAAAACAGATGATGTGTTACTGCCTGGCAGTTAGGAAGTTGGGAAAAGGTGGTTTCTGTTCCTCCTGCCCCCATGGGAACCCCTGCTATTGGGCGTATATTGTATGCCACCCCCCACCTCCAGAATGAGAGGGACTGCTTGGCATCAATGCTTTATTTAGAGGGTGGGGTATATTGCTTTGTATGTCAGTATTTGTCTAGGTCTCATGAGTGGGCTGTTGAGGATGCAATGCAGAATTATCGGAACTGCGTGCTAGAGGAGTAAAGTTTGAGTACATTGTAGGGCTTCTGTGTTTGGTTGTTGTGCATGCGCTAATTATGTGTGGAATGCAATTTTAGCTGCCGTTTAAGCTCTGCTTGGGATGCGGGTGGTGCTGTGGGTTAAACCATAGAGCCTAGGACTTGCCAATCAGAAGGTCGGCGGTTCGAATCCCCGCGACGGGGTGAGCTCCCGTTGCTCAGTCCCTGCTCCTGCCAACCTAGCAATTCAAAAGTACGTCAAAGTGCAAGTAAATAAATAGGTCCCACTCTGGCGGGAAGGTAAACGGCATTTCTGTGCGCTGCTCTGGTTCGCCAGAAGCGGCTTAAGTCATGTTGGCCACATGGCCAACATGAAGCTGTACGCCGGCTCCTCAGCCAATAAAGCAAGATGAGCGCCGCAACCCCAGAGTCGTCCACAACTGGACCTAATGGTCAGGGGTCCCTTTACCTTTAAGCTGTGCTTATGGTTGACTATGGGGTTGGGAATTTAATTGGATTGGGTTGTTTAATTACGTCATTGGGCATATGGTGGGTCAAAAAGAGTTTTTTCTTTTCTTTTGCTCAGTTGCGAATTGCAGTATTTTAAAACAAGAGTCTTCATTGTATTTTATGGTAGGTACCTCGGTTTCCGAACATTATCCTTTCTGGAAGACCTTTCAGGTTCTGAAATTTTCGAAAACTGAAAACTCAGAACGGAAATCCCAATACGGAAGTCGTGTTTCTGGTTTGACTTCCGAGGCATGTTCGGAAACCGAAGCATTTACTTCCAGGTTTACAGTGTTCAAGTTCTGAAACGTTCATCAACGAAGATGTTCGAAAACCGAGAAATCACTGTAGCTTATTTTCGGGTGTTTCATTCTGATGTTGACGAAGGGCGCCTATCTAGTTAGGGGTGTTTTATAATGTGGATTCTCGCCCCCTTAGCATTTTTGCATTTGATCTTTGTTTATGATACATTGTGAACTACTTTGAGCGATCCCTGCACCCTGCTTAAATAAAATAAATAATATATTTGGTTGGGGAATAATCCAGATTTTAGAAACACAACTAGGTTTGTACACTTCATTTGTAGTGCAACATCTTTCATCCAGTGTTCTCCCTCAGAATTTCAGAGAAGCAAACTTGTTCCGGTTTTTTTTTTTTAAAAAGCTTTAATTTTACACCTGCATTTGAGCATTCAAACCACCACAATCCTGGTTTGTTTTCATATTACTCACAGAAAACTAAAGTAGTAACAGAGGTGGGTAGGCTGTACTACTCATCTCTCCACCAACGTGTAAGTTCTTCCACAGGTGGAATGCTAACAAACAGTGACTTTTGAGATAGAATTCCTGCAGTCATGCTCACTCGCCACAGTGCAAAGGGCAACAAACAAAACCAACAGGTCATTTAGGTTGGTTTGCTATATTGGGATGAGGTGAGGAATGGGCTCTGACAAGGAGGCATGTGATTAGCCTTCACAGCAACGTTCTCTACTGATTTGTCAGCAAATGGTCAAATACATGAAGCTAAAAAACATAAAGGGGGGGGGACTTCAGGAACAGTACTGGCTGCAAGATAAATAAGCGAGAAGGAAGGATTGCTTCCCATCTGGGATTATGGCAGCACCTGGCGGCCTACAGCTGTGCCTGCCTCCTTTATTTTTAGGCTTCCTATGCCAGGAAGCCGAATCTACCCACTCTTTTAATTTCCCACAATGCACTTCTTCTAAGGTGTTTTGTTTTGTAGGACCCATCTCTCCTGCTCAGTCTATACTGTTCAACTTTGGTTGGGATGGTTTTGCTTTTTATAACTGCATGTTGCGCTGTTGCAACCTGTACTGAAACCTTATGGTTGAAGGGCAAGTAAGGAATATGAAGAACGTTGCTGTGTGTCATTTGTGGGAAATTAAAATGGCAGCTCAATGCAGCTTCCCTGTGCTGCCCAGAGCAGGGCCACTGGGGCCAGGTAAGCCCGCGGGGGCCCACTTACCAAGAAAAGGGGGCCCTGCCCCCAAGGACAATTTGCCCAGGACTCTCCAGTGCTGGATCTGGCCCAGCTCCTCCTAGTCCTCAGCCTGCTCTCCATATTGGCTCCTCTTTCAAACGCTACTTTTTTCTTAATGTGCTGCTCCAAAACACCAGAAGCTCCAGTTTATATGGGAAGGAGGCCACAGGTGTGCTATGCATTTATCTTCACCATGCTGCTATGAGTCTAGGGTCACAAGCAGATGATTATTCATAGCCAATACCACATTCTGGGACTGGTGTGGAAGCAATCTCATGTTATCTTAGTGCATCTGCTCACCTTTGCTTGCTACCTGAGCTTTTAACTAGTGTTTCCAGGGACTGAAGCTGAGGCCAAGCAGGTAACTATCAGGAAGGCAGAAAGCTGCATAATTCCACCAGTAGGGATGAAATCTAGAAGCAGGTGGATTTTGACTTGTTTGGAAAACTGGCTTCACGTTGCATGAAATGGAACATTTTTTTCTGGATTTGGTCAGGCAAAAGTGACAATGGAACTAATCTGAAAACATTTCAAAACACCCATTTTAATCAGAAGGTGCACCTTGGCGGTTGCTGCTACAGTTCCCAGGCATATCTATATATGCTCAAGTTTCAGACTCTGTTCATGCCGCAGAATAAAAATAAAATAAAATCCACATCTGTAAGTTTTCTTCCACTGAAGGCTTATAATGCAGACCGACAAGCAAAAATGGCAGAAATGGGCTGCTGTGAAACAAGTGACTAAAAAGCACAACAAAAGGTTTGGGAAGCACAAAAGAGCAAACATAATGGAAGGTCACAGAGGAACAGTCTATAGCAAGATCAGAAAGCCTGTCTTTATGGCAGTGCATCCTAACACTTTGCTCTGTTTATACTCTCTCCAAACCGCATCATAGGATCCAGGGTCATTTCACAAAAGTAGCTGGCTAGGAACACCTCAGGCTTCTGGGATCTACTTCTTAATTTTTTAAACCACCAATTACAGGCACGTGTAGAATAATGGGGGCGAGTGTACAGCAGAGTCAATTACGTACTGCGCTGCGTGACTCATCCACTGTATTTACAAATACAAGCCTACACCCGAGTCGGTGTTTCTAACACAAAACTCAAAGGAGCTGGTACAGCTCCCAAAGGCAACCAATTAATACTCGCATTTTACAGGCGAGGAGCACTGTGGCTAAGAAATTAGTGAATTAGCAATTTGGAAGAGATTTAATTTCCAAAGTGGCTTGCCATTATTAAACTTACAGGAATGGAAAAATAACACCACCACCTTCACTTGATCTCCTGGAAGGTTACTCTGCAAATTTATGCCAGAAGACCCTGGTGTAGGGTACCGGGTGATACTGGGGGGCAATGACTTAGCCCACTTGACAATTTGATTGTGTAACTGTATAATCCTTTGTTAGGGAATAGAACGGGAAGGATGCTAGCAAACTCCTGTTTGTTGATACAATTCCGCAATCAAACACAGCTACTCCCCTCCCTCCTGATCATAACCGTGCTAGATAGTTGCTATTTTCCTATGTGCCAAAATGTTCCTTCTGTGTAGGGGTGATCTGCCCCCTCTCCCTTTTTAAGCGCTTGATTTGAAAATATGTCATAGTTTAATTTTAAATAGTTCCTTTGACTTTATAAGCTATTTGTGAGGTTTGCTTCCTCCCTTCACCACCCTGCTCTTTTCTGTCAACTGGAAGCAACATCCCTCAACCATCATGTGATCAAGTGAGTGAGACGCCACATTGCTACAGGGCCAAACTAGGGGGCAAGGGCAGTGGGCCCAACTTATCAAAGTTGGGTGCATGGAAATGGGGAAAATTGAAAGGAAGTGAGGTGCCGATTGTTGGTTTCTATTTCCTTCACTGAGCAGCAACTGCAGTCACAAGACAGGTGTTTACATTCCACAGTCTGTACTGTTGGAGTTTCTCACGGGAAAGGGAGACTGGATGTGACGTACACTGGTTTCCTGTTTTTCACTCTGTGTGATTCTCTCCAAGCTGTCGAGGAGAGAGGATGCATTTTTCTGCTCTTGCAGAGGCAAGATGTCTTTCTGTAATATACCAGCTTTGAACTGTAAATAAAGCAATATAGAGTATGTAACACGTATCCTCATCCTTCCGCTGGGCACGACAGACTCTGCTTAAATCAACACGTGGTTATGGACTCCAGGAATCGAATCGCAGTGCCGGCAGATCGGAATGCAGAGGGACGGATCGGAAAGGAATCTGCTCTGCGCGTAGAGGTGATTGATGAGGTATGTGCTACTGCTCCGGGCAGCCTGCCAGCTTCAAGTTAATGGCTTTATGGCTGGACTTTGAACTTTTAAAGCCGGTTTTGCCGGGAATAGGCAAAAGGCTCCCAGGCACAAGTCACTATGCTGGGGAATCGAAAGTAACTTTTAAGTGTGCCTTTGTAATGAGGCAGCTGCAGCAGTGACGCAGCAAGATTTAAAGCAGCATATATATGACGCTGAAGGCTAATGCCAGAGTCATGATGGCCCTTCAGGATGCTTGTGGGATTCCTAAGCTCAACAAGAAAAATTACAGCGACTGGGTTCAGTATGCAGAGGCAATTCTGCGGAAAGAGGGTTTGTTTGAGGTGATTACTGGAACCCCCACCAGTTCCAGTTACAGATGCATGGGAAGCTAAGGATTCCAAAGCAAGGGAACTCTTACATTGATAGTATCCCCAGAAGAGCTCTGTCTATTGCGTGATAAGACCTCAGCCAGAGAAATTTGGGACGCTCTGAGAGAGGCTCACTTAAGGACAGAAGCTGGATCCACTATGTTTTATTTTAACAAGCTGCATAATATGGCTCTTGCTGAAGGTGGAGATGTGCGTTTACATCTAATGGAGATGCAAAATCTGAGACATGAGCTGCAACAGAGAGGACTCAACTTTCCAGAGGCTGTGTATTCTTTCATGATACTACAATCTTTGGGTTCAGGTTGGGAGTCTGTTGCAACCCAGATTGCTGTGCAACCAGCTGCTCAGCTGACAGTGGACTTTGTTACTGCCGTGATTTTAAATGAAGCAGATCGCCGGGGTGCTAGCTGCATGGGCAAGGGGAGTCTTCACAGACGTCATCCCATAGTGCAGTGGAACCACCAGATGGCGCCAAAGCTTTGAAGGCAGTGAAATGCTACTCGTGTGGACGTCTAGGCCATATGAAGAGGGAATGCAGACATCCCAGGGCCAAGACAGAGCAGCGCAGCGAAAGCTCATCGCGCGGAAAAGGCCGAGGCAAAGGCAAAGGTCCGGTGTCTAGGACAACGCAGCACAAGGCTATGGTTTCACGCT